GGTACAGTTGGTTATAATAATGATTGCTTTTATTAAACCAGTCGTGTTCTCGTGATAAATGTGAGTCACTACATACTAATCCAAAGGTTAGCTGAATATCTCAAAGACCCTAGACTACCACTATAATTCAGAGGTACTTCACGCTTCCAGGCTCCTAGTTTAGTTGGTCTATGAAGCTGGCACTAAAGACCTTTGACACCTCTAAGCTATTGAGATCGAATCCACATGACTTATTTAGAGAACAGATCCCTTGGCTTGTGGGCTTCTTCCTGGCCATGAATCAATAGAGATATTCGGGGTCAGCTTGGATTTTAGCTGCTAGCTTGGCCTGAAATCATACCCTATTACTGCAGACTCTAATGGCTCTCAATGCCAAGTAAAAGTTAAGATTAGAATCCTTCATGGAGACTTTCAAATTGTTATGGGCTCACCGTTCGGCCAGTAGCAAGCGTTCTATGACTCGTCTAACACAGGGTCTTCGCTTAATTTGTGGTACATTGTATTGGATAGCATGCTGAATCATATCCTTCATTGTCCACCAGTAGTCATCAACTGTTAACCACCGCTGTCATCACCAGATTCACCTCGACAGAAGCATGGGTCAACTGGATTTTCGAATGCATGCTTACGCTGTGGCATATTGTGTTGGATAGCATACTGAATATGGTCTACGATGATATTAGTACTTCTACAATAATAGACTCAACCCTAAAATTGTACATTTATTAAAAAATTCCAAGGACCTTTCGACAGTAAGGAACTTAATGAGTTTCTGCGTTATTCTGTCAAACTTGCGGAAGTGAATGCGAAGATTACCTTTCTTAGCGAATGTCTTAAAATGCACAAATATCCTAAATACTACTGGAAAATTCTTCGACAGCTTTGAAAATGAATTTGCCGAAAAGAGAACTCTTCGCTGAATTGATCTTTCTTTCTTATTTAACTGTACGTTTCTCATGATGTGACCACCTAATCTATAAGATCTTACGTGGATGTTATATCATTATCTACACTGACACATTCGTATTGTAACAATCATCAATATGCGGTGAAAAACACATTTAGGCTGGAGATATAACAATATATTTATTATAGATAAAAAACTGTTACGTAAGTAGGACCAGTGATAGAGAACCCTGCCACTACAAGAAATTGCATTAAAATGCTGTCCGCGGTTTTAACGAGTGATAAGCTTGTGGCAAAATTCTTATTTTTGTGTTATATCCCAACAGTAGTCTGTACCATTAGCGGTTTGTGATGCTCCTTTCCTCTAATTTGTTCTTTGCTTGTTTATTTTATTAGAAGTAGGGACCTGGGTGTGATCCTGATTACTTGGCGGTGAATTCACTTTTGGTTTTCGTGTTGAATTGTCCATGCTATACATACCCCTGTGGGGTTCATTGTCTGGTTTCGTGTTGAGCTTTTTTATAGTCCTGTTTCTAAGATCAGGGAACGTCGACTTATTTTTAACCTCTGACATAAGATCTCTAGTTCCGCTAGTCGCCTTTGTGGTGAACAAGATGAACAAGCAGTATGTATTCTTGTGAGCGTCCTAATATATGAATATGCTAGTGGAAAAGTGAGTTTTTCCTGTTATTAGTGAGAGATAAGTAATGTCACGTCAAACTCGAAAACAACGCCAACCATTTAGTAGTAAGCTCTATGTCCTTTTTGTAGTAATGGATTCATTTCTTCGTATCCCCTAAACTTTTCAATGCCCAATTTTTTCAGATTATTAATATCACGTTATTTAATATTGGTTTTAGTTGAGTATGAATGACCGGATGAGTCCATACAGAAGAGACGCCATTCTTTTAGAAGCGAAGTTTGCTAATCTTGTCTTAGTATATTAGAGCATTACATCAAGCGTCTTCACTATTTACCTCATTCTATACCGGGTTATATCCCCTAACTCTTCGTTCTTCTATTGGTGAAAGATCACTTTATTATGTTACTTAATTTGTATAGTCAGGAATAAAGTCATAAGAATGCCCAAATTTCACATATTCATGCCACCGAAATACAAGTACTGATTCATTAAGTTAAACGCAAAACAGTATCTATATAATGTTCGAGTGAAGTATGTTTGAAGTGTCTATGAATAACAAAAGCACTTCACATTCAAATAAGTCTTATATTTGATGCTATACATCAAAGGACTAGATATTATCATTGTTTTGCTTATGGAATATCCAAACAAGTTTTCATCGTCTTGGGATGATTTGCAAAAAGCAAGTATAACGTTAACTTCAGTTCTGTTTCTAGAAACTTGTGAAACCAGTGGAAATGACTATTATTGTTAGGGCTTCCCTTACCAAAAAATTATATCAGCTATGGCTTATCTGTACAGTTTATTCCCGTGGTGTACCACCTGGAAAGCTTCGCTTATAATATTTTGGAATGATGGATTGATATGGACGTAGCTCATCTCTAGTACTTGATCAACCTTGTGCTCAGTTATACGGATGACTAGGGTCAGCATATCTCTCAGTACAGAATGCTTGTCAAATAGCTGCCATAATAATGCTAAATACAACAGCTCTCTTCTTCCACCTACATAAGAACGTCGTTTGTGTCCCTCCTATTAAATATAATTGTCATTAAGACCACACTGCAGAATTTTGACAGCGAACTGATCAAAAACATTTTTGGCGACACATTGAATACTGAAAAGCTGTCACAACCGGGTCACGAATGACAGAATACGATCTCCTCTGTGAGTGTGTTACTCCAATTTGTCGCTGATATTCATTTGCCAATTCAACTAGCAATCTAGGACAAGTCAGTCTCATCAATGTTAATCTGGAACTACAGTTCGTATAAGCAAACTTATTTCGCCTGACCAATAGCACTAACCCACTTGGAATGAGTACGACTAATGTGACTCCTCAGCTCACACTGTGTTATACTGAATTGGTATCAATAATGATTTTCCAACCCACGTAACTGTAACTAAGTGATCAGTCTACTCTGTCCCAAAATACAGTCGGAGAACAGACAGCAACAGAATATAAGAGTACAGACCAGTAACGTATGAGCCCAGATATGGATAGCTCAAAAAGCAAACTCCATCATGGATTTGCGTAAATTTTTATAATCTTCCAAATTATCAATAATTGGGAATGTTCAGTTTGTAGGAAAACGCAAACAAACGACTGTAACACGCAGCATGATTATAGTGAGCAAAATTGTCAGTAATTCCACAGTTTGACATAATTTCATACATAATGATGTCATTTAAGAATACTTGGTTCCCGCATCAGAACCGCAAAGCACTATTTCGCTTCTAAGTTCATGTGGATGTCTTGAAATAAGAACTCCAATTTTTTATTGTAATATAAATAACCATTCAGTTAAAACGTTGAAATCCTACCTTAATTAATATTTTATTTCTTCAATTCTGTCGTAACGTTTCCCATTGATGGATATTTAACTCACCCCGAAAATGTAAGGTTTCTATCTGTCTCCATTGTTTCTGGTGTTCATACGTAATGCTATGTCTATGCCACTTATTCCTGCTATTGAAATTCTTGACCTTGAACAGCAGATTTTAAAAGTTAACCTGAATTAACTAAGATGTTCAACGAACACAACTAGAAGTCATTCGTGAAAGCATATCATCCATTTAATCAGAAACGCAGGTTTCGTTACAAGTAGTGAAATTACTTAGTTTTCCAAGAATAAAACATCTGGACATGATATCAAGAGTGTTGGAGACGGATAGAATAGACGGATAAAATATTTCGAAATGGAAAATAGGTACTATAAAGATCAAATTACAAAACACGTTAGGTTCACCACTACATAAATGGTATAGATAACTAAAAGTAAACTCAATATGCCAAAACAAGATTAAAGAAGCACAGTCTAGATGTATAATTATAATGAACAGTATTTGAAAAATTTGCTAACGGATATCGAAAATTCACCTTACTTCTGGGTAATCTTACATGCATTTAGTAATATTAGGTATCTATGCCTGAAAATAATGTAAAAATATGATAACAAAACATTTACGAGGTATGTAAAAAGTGAACAGGTGCTTCCAAAGAACGCTCCAATCCAATCCAATTAATACACACTTAACTCAAGTGGTCATAATAAATAAAACAAATTACCTTCCACTTCACATTCAACATAATAGGATAGGTCAAGCAAACAAACAAACAATCAGTGTTATGAAATGTATAACGATGGTAAAGATGATGTGACAGAAATTGATTGTTACATCTTAAAATTTATATAAGGATTCAAAATGTGCGATAAAATAAACAAAATAGACAGTACTTAAAACCTATTCAAAAGGTTATGGTGTTACATTTACACGGTAGAAATCTATTAAAGTATACTTTTCAAACTACTACAATGACAGAAGCTTATTAGAAAATATCATCGAATAAAAAATCGACCCACTGAAGTTGCACAAACAGTAACAACCTACTGTAAAAATATAATGGTTAAAGGATAAATGAAAAAGATTTATTTACGGGAATTCAATAGGTAACGCTAATATACATAGAGTTCTGCTGTCACTACAAAACTTATTACTAATTGTGATGGAGATTACCTTATCCATAGAAAGAGATTATAGATATTTGCATTAATTATATTATGAAGTTTCAAACAACAATTAAGATTTAATGAACAAATACCACACAAATGATTATCTAAAAATCAAATTTATTAAAGAAAAATCTTAACAATTTAATAGGAGAATTGACAAGAATCAACGACTTTAGACTATTCATCAAATTTTACAATTGTAAAGATTCTCATTTTGATCTTTATTAAACAAACTATAAAACAATATAAGATATTGTTTTCCATTGTCGAAAAAAAGGAACTCGAATAACTTCAAATGATCTTTATACTTAAAATTAGTCAACATAGACAATAATATAAAGCAAAATGAAACCAAATCACTTACAAAAATATAGTGTATCACATGAACAAATTAGGCACGAAGTTCATATTAACATTTATTTTTTAAAAAGGTAAGAGTTTTCAATTTATGCGAATCATTGAAATTGAAACAATTCGCCCGATGATGTTTAGGAATGTCTTACAAAGAAATAGTAACATACACAAAAAAAAATGCATGAACGTTTCTTTGCTCTAACTATTCGACGAAAAACAGCATATCCAAACCAATATAAACATGTAACATACATAAATTATTGGAAATATCTAAGATACGTAGGTTATCACCTCACTTTCAGTTTGTCCATTTGTACAGATTTGATATGTAAATATGATGTAAGAATAAAAGTAACAATTCAAAATCACTATTGTTCGTATTCTAAAGAAACTTAAATATTGATATTTCAAGAAAATTATGACTTAAAAGAGAATTTCTGATGATCCATACAACACGTATCCAACCCAACCCGCAATACTAACGAAAGCAGTCATTATAAAGATCACAGACCATTGGTTTGTAGCTTCTAATATATAACCAACCATATAGACACCTGCAAATCCTGGAAATGTACCAACGGTAGCCATAATTCCTGTCACGAACAAAAAAATCAACAGAAATGAAACGATGGAAAATTATACAATCAAGAAGTATGAACACAAATTTCTTATCCGAATGAGAATTATGAATGATAGAGTTTAAAATATAGACCATTTAGTTCCGAGTCGCCGGTCCGAAAATCCCGCTGCAGAATCTGAAGGATTAGGGTTCGGTCTCTCAGGTGATGGGGAGTTCACAGAAGTGAGTTGCACAATATGACGAAACATCTGTGTACAGGGACACCCAGTATTCAGTGGGACTCTATATGATGTTATTTCTAAAGGTAAAAACTATCCCCATAAACATTAGCAATCATAATGTAAACGCATGTGCACTAGCGACTAATTTCGAAATGAGTTAATGAAGTTCCAGAGAAATGTCGTGCTTGTGTAGTTCAGATATAAGGAAGTGAAATAGCCATTATCAGTTGAACTGGATGATCATCATATTATACCATGAGTTGATCGAAACAAAGTGTGGACCGATCGATATCGCGCTGGATTCTTGATGAGATCGTAGGTGTGTACTGACGAGCCTCACAATAGAAAGAAACAGCAGTCAAAAACTTCTCGGCTTTTATTCGTACAGTAACTAGTGTATAACCATCACAAAAATTACCTATTAATTATAGTCTAATTGTTTAAACCAGCCGCAAACATATCATGAATTGATTGAAAAACAGAAATGCATGAATATTTAAATATTGAGTAATTCCTACATACTTTTTTGCAAGACATTAACCGAAAAAAAACCTACCGTACAACTGACCACCATGATTGGGAGCCATATCTTGAGGATTTAACAGTACACCACTGCAATGAAAGCCTAAACAGGCTAATGCAAAAGCCATACAAATTAGTGACCCATAATAATTATCCAGAGATGATAAGATGATAAGAAATAAAGATGAACCCAAAAGAACAACTGTCTGTATAATATAGAAATGAAATTAGTATGCATATTATTGGAAGATCAAGGAAAAAACAAGAGACGACGAAACCAATTGTTAAAAAGAAATACTCAGTTGTACAATGTTTTTCTGCATAGTCTACTAACACTGTCTCTCATAAGCTTATGGTTTAGAGGATTTAATACCCTCAGAATTTATAAATTATGCAAAAAAGAACTTAACACATATATCTTAAAAATATTTCAATTACCAACTACTTTTACTATACACACACGGTCGAGCTTCACTGCTGACGGTTTTTCATCAGAGCTCCGAGAATTACCTCTCGTCATCAGTGAGCACATGATTATTATTAGTATATGGATGGTTTATAGACGTTTTCGAGTTTCATAACACGCATAATCAATTAACCTTAGTTAGAAAACCACTGAAAACCAGGAAACATTGGACAATATATTTCATAATAGTATGGGATTCCCCTGCAATGTGAGTCCAGGACCACGTCGAAGATTGAACCTGGGATGTTTTATACTCAATCTAAGTCCCTAACCCTTAAACTATTGAGCCAAGATCAACCGTTTAAAATATTTTATACTTCTGAAATTATTGGGTCTAGATTTACGGCATCGTTGGAATTAAAGGAAGAACACCATTGAAACTTTATCTGTTAGGATTCTCTTAGAAAAATTTTGTTAATCATTGTTAGCAAAGTCAGGTTAATTTGAAATTAAAGTTGTTTAATTCAATATTACTAGCCAATATCTATAACCAAGTTCACGTAGCAAACTCTAAACAATCATTTTAGTGTGATAGTTATCGCTAATAATGTTATTATGTGTTACACTATGTATCTAAATCATTCTTGTTTGAACATTCGAAACAGTAAAGTATAATATTCTGCTTATTATTATTATACTGTGAATATATACAACTAAAAATGTTTCGCTTTTTCAAATCATAAACTGATTTCCTTTGAAGAACCAGTTGCGAAACGAAGCAGGTAGCTGTTTACTTCATGTTTTAGCGGAGCATACACTCATGAACTTAAATCGATCCTAGATCACACTTAATGAATCTGACAATAAGCGATATAATTGTGAAATATTATTGTGGGATTTAAAAGGTCCGGATTCTTAACTTTAGTAAATTGGTAATGTACCATAGGTAAGCTATAGTCTCAGTCCCAGTAAGTTGATTTAATAGGTTACAGTTTCTCATTGACACAGTGTGAAAATTTATTTATACAAGTAGGCCATTATCAAACAGCATGATCATAACTTAGTAATATGCTTGTGATGCATTATGTTTGCAGTAAATACGTGCTCTTTCCCTCTAGTTTCCAATAATTTTTCTGTGTTTTCTGATAAGCGCTAGCTTAGCCAATCGTTTAGCATCTACAAAAATCAGTATATTATACAGCAAAACATTACGGCAATGTGTACGAACTCACCGTAATTATTTTCCTCACTATTGTTACAGATACACCTAAAAATATTTTAAATTAAGTGTAGATAAATTGATAAGGTTTGTTATACAATAATCCTTGAAATATAACTAAATGGATATCTGGAAAGTTTAAATAAGAATGAATCATAGTAAATTTGATACTTATTTGTTAAATTTACAATTCGGACTGTACTATTCGAACCTTGCACAAAATATTGATTAAGCAGTGGTCTGCATCAACGTCTAAACCGATTACGTAGAGCGAAGTAGTTGAAGAATCGATCACTGTACTTGTCTTGTAAGTCTCATTAGTCCTGAAGAGTCCGCTTGTTTCATTTGTGGCGTAGGTGTGGTGTCCGTTTGTCAACAAAAAAGCTGTGCTGAAGTTCGCTTTTCATAGCTAAATGACTGTGAAACAAGATGTACGAAGGTAGAATACATGCTTAGACTGAGGGATTCGATACTGAAAGTCTTTGAAATATTGCCTAATTTTCGTGGAACAACCGACTAAACAATCTTATAATTGTGTAGAGGTGTCGAACCGGTTGGTGAGGTAATGAATCTTTATCGACTGAAATAGAACATGAGTTAAGTATGAATAATCACCACCTATCTTAACAGATGTTTACTGGTTTACGAGTATGGTGTAAGAGAGCTAAGGGCAGCCAACCCAAAAGATAATAAAAATTCATGAAGTTTCTGACTGTTAGTCTAGACCATGTTTGTAGATACAGCCTACTTGATTGGGGTCCGTGTGATACACCGTTTTGATTTCTTTGACATTCATCATAGTAATTTCACCTCGTCATTTTATTGTGACATGGTAACTTCAATCAATGCGCACTTGTGTTGATTTTTACTGAGGTTTTATAATCATAAAAAAGCATGCTTATTTTAGTGTGACATATTTTTAGTTTTTATTTGTTGATATCTTTTGAGAGAGATAAAACTTACAAAGAATCTGTTTTGTTTTTTAAAAATTATTACACATATGAATCATAGAACTTTTCTTTGTTAATAAATAGAATGAGACTAATTTCATTATTCCAATTTCACAAAAACCTATGCAATCCAGAAAAGTGTGAAGGACTACAATATAAAGAAAAATGATGATTTATGTAAGCGAGAACAGTGAATATCATTTGCACTTAAGTAGGGGAACTAATAAACTGATTTTACATTTAAATGAAAATAAGAAAGACCCTATCTTTGTAAGGATATGACCACCGAAATAGGAAAACGAAAATAAACCCCTATCGCGCTTAAACAGGACTCATAGTTACAGAGTTTTACTAGTGGAAATGAAAAATAAATCAAGATGCTTTTGAACTAATGAACAACATATTAAGCAACTTCGGGTACTGGCAACTACTGTTGGTCAATAATCGTCGACAAATTTATCAAGAGAATTCTATGACAAAAATATAATACAATTACCAGTTTTAATCCAGTGATCAGATAAGGCACCAGCTAATAAAACAGATGGGAATATAATTAGCCATGGGACCATATTGAAAACCCAACTCTAAAAGATAAACAATTCGATTAGAGACAAGGATTACTTTGTAAAAAAAACAATAATAAACTTCTGTAAGACAAAACAATAAGTAAACTGATTTTATTATCAATATAGGATTGTGAAGATTGCTGAATTTCATTGGAATCATGAACCGGTCAATATTCAGCCATCATTAAGTCCCATATTAGGGACGAAATGGATGTCCAGTGCCTCCAGGTCCACAATGGTAAGTCTAGAATTGGTCGGTTCATGATTCAAATGAAGATAATTTTATCTCCGGAAAGTTGTTATATTAGTCAGCCCCAACATGAACGATTTGATTAGATTTTATATAACAAACAACAATTCTTAATTCACATATTACAATTTCCAAATGATGTACTCTGCTTTAAATCTGGCCAATGTTATAGAGTATTAATTTGGATATGAGATAATTGTAGAACCTGATGAGAAATTGATTGGAAAGAATATTCTTCGTTCAGATAATTTTATGTCGATGACTTCAAATTTTAAACAAACGTACAATATTCCCACCAATGTAATAGTTTTACAAATGTGATTTGGTGTGAAACTTGTACGAAGGATAATTATGATTAGTTACGAAAGTAAAATACCAATAATCGTAAATTATAACCAACTTTATCATTTCGACCAGTAAATCTATTAATTATAATTTTCAAATGTTCACTGTGATATGATTATGGTAACGATTTATTTTCTGTTAATTTTTATTCTCGTAATGAATTAAAAACACACGATTGTAGAAAGTAATCAGAATTCTTGTTTACCAAGTAACCTAAACTATTTTTTACATGTTTTATACCAAATTACAAATTTGATCACCCTTTTTTATCGACATTAAAATAATGTGCATCTTTGTGTGAAGTCAGAACAGCAAACAACGAAATGAATGCTCATTTCATATTCAGCGCTGTATAATCTTGATTGTTATTGCTTAACACAGGAAAATTAATAAGAAACTTAGAGAAATTGATATGAACAGCCAATCAGAAGTAGCTTAATGTGAAGGTCAGTTGATGGCAATATGAACTGATCTAAAGGGCAAGTGCATCTCATTGGCTAGGAAATCAATCAATTTCCATGCTTTTTTTCAACTCTAATCAAAAATTTATGTTCGACATCGATTACTGTGTATTTAGTTGTGAAACACTATATTGACAATTAATCAAAAATTCAACAGTGCAAATGTTAACATTTGTGAACAGTCTAGAAAATAAATTACAGTACATACACAAACAACAACTACTATCAAGTAAAAAACTTTTTAAACTGAAATCTCACTTACTCTTGCATCGGGATAATTGTCGTGGAAATACGAAGGACACCAGTTGAGGATAATATAAAATGTATTATTGTGAACAAAATTAGCCAAAAGCATAACCCTATAGACAAACACGGAAAGAGAACAACAATAAAGAATGTGATAAAAAATAAGCGTTATGAATTAAGACAGTTTGAAAAGGATATATAACTATGTTTAGTTTTCGTACAAGCAAACCAGACCAAATCATACCATAAAATAAAAAATAACTGCACAAGATCAAACCAAAAAATGGCTGTGATTGTGAGAAATAGTAATTATTCTACAGGGTATAACTTAAAAATAGTAAATCGTATAATAATAGTCTGTAGGTCAAAACAAAGCTTATAATAAGAGGAACATAAATATACATAAGATATTAGTCTATTGATAGCTCTCAGACGTTATGCATAATTTAATCTTCGCCAGGACATAACAAACCTGTTCCTGCCATCTACATATTATGTTTTTATTTGTTTTATATACAATCTGTCCTTTATATATTACACCATTGAGTTAACTGGTTCTATGAATCCGGTGTTCATCTTGCTGTGCTAATGAGGTGTGGCATTTTGGACCGATGCACATATGTGCCTGGTCCTACGTTGTAACTGACTGACTGTTATTTATTTTAACACATCATCATGTCTATTAAGCGCATAACCCATTCAGGCGCGTTTATGAAAAGTTTACGACCATCTACTGTAAAAGTTACAAAAAAGTACAATCAGAGACATCCTGGTGGCTGGCAATATACATTGAGAATAATGAATATTATTCAGATGTCTATGCCTGAACTGCTAACATCTAACATCGGATCACTAAATATTCGTCGTCAGGATCGATCAAGAAATAAGAAAACGAAACATGGTGAAATATTTTGTGCTAAGAATTCTATATTGTACCAAAAATATAATATTGAATAAAGCCATTAATAATAATTATAATAATATACAAAGATTGCACATTAAGTTGAGTCAATAATCAATAAAAAAGGCAATAAACAATACGCTATTGAAAAATTAATTAGCTTAGATAATGTCATCAGTAGATGAAGATTGTTAGAACAATGATTAGCATAATAAATTCTAAACAATCTATTAAGAAAATTTATGTATGAAGAATAAAAGGTTAACTAGACAAATCAGATGATCTAAGAGAATAACATTTAGAAAAACACAATGTGAAACTCAGCAAGCTGAATAATAAAACAATAATAATAACGTAGGCTTATGGTAAGGACAAAATTTTTCCACGAATACACATGCAAGGGGTGCCTGAATTTCCAAATTACTAAAGCTTTAGTAAACCTTAGTATATGTTCATGAACACTTTTGTACAAAATCGCAAAAGCCGAGTTACGATCAACCTTATGTTTCAAACATGCGTTTAGCCATAGAACGTGGATTGTTGTCATCTGTTCTTGTAGAGTCATTTGATTCTATTTGTTTCTGTAGTTATTTTAATACGTGTTCAAATTTATTATTATTATTGTTATTACTATTATTATTATATATCCTCATAAGCTTCTTAGAACCTCATTTGTATTGAACTATAACATAAGACGAAATAACAAACACTGGTGATTATAAGGAAGAATTCGAACGACGTATAATCAATACTCCAACAAATTTCGCTGTAATAAACATTCATCCAGTTCATATAGGAATCCGTGAAAAAGATTTACAATAGTGGCTATCTACTATTCCTTTTAACATTTACACAATTTTTGGAAACAATCTTTCTTAAGATAACATCTGTTGCCAACTAATAACAAATATTTGATCAATTCACTTGAATCTTCCCATTGATGTTTTAGGACTGAAATTGATCAGTCTCTTATTGGCATATGTGCATACTGTGCGTATGCAGGTACATCCAGCTGACGAGTTTCAAACAGGACGAAACGCGCGTCCTGGATTCTACTGCTAGCCACTATCCATCTTTGCTTATAAATATTTGATCAGTTCATTTTAATGCAATCTTCACTAGTTTCAAAAAAGAATGACACAAGGAAGAAAATATATCGACTATGGTGATGAATGTGAGTGAATTTAATAGTATTTAAGTATGCAATAGATTGTAAGCATTTATATAAGCGCTTCGGAGTATATTAACTATTAAAATACATGATTTGTCAGTTCAACAAATTAAGAAAACAGAAAAATGTATCTTATATTTGAAAGAAAAGAAAAAGAAAATCCACCAAAATGAGCAGGTCAGCAATAAGGTCTTTGTGTTATCGATTATATAAAGAGAGAAAAAATTTTGTAGAAAACTGAAATTAAATTCCTTAAAACAGTATGAGATTAAATACAAATTCCGTTAGTATGGTGACTTGTTACTGTCTATAAGAATTAATACAATCAGTCGTTCTACTATGTGTTGACAACTAGTATGAAACGGTTTACATTTAAAAGAAACACGTTTGTTGTCATGAGTTTATGAAAATATTTATATTTTATTAGAGCAAATAAAGAGTATTAGATTAACTACAATTCTATTCTATTGATTCTTAAGTATTTTACAATTAATGCGTGTAGAACATCATTAAATACATTTTCAAATTGTACTGAGTATGAGATAATGTTTAACTTCCAAATGACTGATTGAAAATTTGATATACAGAATTATATAGAAATGATTTCACAAGGTCAAAGTATATATGTAAAGTTTATTATCGGTAATTACTGGCATTTAGTTTGTGTATCTGTTTTATAACCTTAGTCACCAGCTTTCATTTAATGAATAACCTATGGTTATATCTTCTACTTTAAAGTTATTGTAATTTGAGCACGAGTCGTAGATGCTATTTTTTATATTCTAATTGATCAAATTCAGCATAAATTATATATTCTCGTTTACTCAGCGTCGTGATTAACTATTCATATATTTACACATGTACATTTCTGATTTAGTTACGTGAACACGGTGGATTCCGCTCTCGTCATCTTTTCTTCTCTTATCAAGCAGAGTTGACTAAGCAAGTCGTTGGTCGACGAGCGAGATAGTTCTTCTGCTCCTAAAGACAGTTGACCACAAGTGGAATTTATCCATTCGCATTCTCAAGTTTACGTCAATTAACCTAGGGCATCAAAGCCACTAACCGGTTCTGAGACAACTCTCTCAGCATATCTATCTAGAGAGAAAGTAGAAAGACCAAGGACCCAACAGTATTTTACTGTAAAGACCTATCAATTTAAAATCTGTTTGAAGTTGATACAAGCAGACTTAATTGGATCACCAACAGATGGGTATTGTAACCCTCTGTATAATTTTGTTTTTTACTCATGCCCATGTATCTCTTGCAACTCCCACCACTATTCGATGTATACAAGAGTTTTATTTTTATCTTTTATGAATGACTACAATCGGTTCAGGAAGCCAGTCACTAACTATTGCACTGTGATATATTGGTTAGTGTGAACTATCCCCCTAGAGCACAAACGATTATCAAGTGACATGGATCAGGTTCAGTAGTAATGGTGCAAAAGTATACATTCTTTGCCGTATAAGTGGAAATTACTTTTACAAGACTGGTAGGAACCCGTGTTTGTACTAACCCTGGGTAGTGAGCATTTAGACACAGTAGAGAAATTCATGTCAATCTAGGCCATTTTTGGCGCCTTTGTGATGTTACTCTGACTTTACAAGATCGGATCTACAGCATTATTTGACGACGCTGGAACTGACTGAAAGAGCGGAGATGGTAGGTGTATGACATGTCTTGGTACAGAAGAAAGCTGTACACGACTGGCTTCTGTTGAACCTACACTACTCTCTGGTTGAGGTTTCTGGAGATATTGCGACACAGTCGTTTACGATTTATGAGAAATTGCTTAGAATAGAAGCCACACGGTCTTTCTGTAAATTTTATCATATTCACTTTCTTTACTCTATCTCCTCACAATCTCATGTTTATCGTATGGCGCATATATATTTTGGTGCCCCTTTGTACCATTAATTATGTGTTTAAATAAATGATATGTGAAATTCTCTTAAACATCGGTGTTCTAAAATAATCCTGCACTCTTTGTTCCATGAACTCATCCTTTTCCATAGAATCATAGTGTCTGACCTTAATGTTTTCTATCAACAGTAATACTGTTACTATGTTTGCTCATGTGACATTAATCTTAATAATTCCATCTTATTGATTTACTATGGTGTAGAAACTTAAACCGACGGGCATATGTGCTGGTTTTTACGATCCTAATGATTGGATGAATGACTAAAGGGAAGACGATGAGCTGATCCATTTGCTTCGGAAGTCCGTAAAGTAATAAAAACCAAGTGGTACGTGTTTCGTCAGTACGTTTAAACAGATATTAAGCACAGTTTTTACGGAGAAAGGTCCAAAAATATACTTATGTAACGTGAATCATATGAATTGTTTATACGTACATACGTACCTACGCTATTGTGAACGATTTTGAGCCATGTCACTGATTATGAAAATCACCCAAACCTTAATCAGGTAACCTGAACTTACGTAAATGGCTCAGCACAACAGTTAGTGACATCATGAACAGATGCTACCTTTTCGTTCACCCTCCGCTATCAATCTTCGAACCTAGTCCTACACCAACCATCATCACGCATCGACGTAGGCAGATGACGATACGTATTACATGTCCTAACCATCTCAGATGATAAATATTCACTATCACATCAATCGATTTGCCATTATTACGCAGTACCCTGTGTCTAACTTGAGAATTACAAACTTGATAGCCGCAAGATACACGAGGAGTGGTTTGAATATACGTATGACCGAATAGTAGTAACTAACGAATATGCTGCTCTAAGGTCCAAAAATATAACCATTTTCTACTCTACAAGTTCCCACTTTGTTGTAGATTATCATAGATAGCCTTGAGATTGATAAGATGGCTAAACGTATGTTACTGTCAAGATGAATTTAACAAAATAAATGATTATATTTGGATGGATAGAATCCAACAATATGAAATGAAATAACCGCTATCGATGATCAAAGATGAAGATCATAATATATTATAGTGATAATGTACTAACCATGAGATATGAAAATTACGGGTTCGATACCAGTACGGTCAAAGGGCAATTATAAGAAATTCTATAGTAAAATAAAACAGCAGTAGAATACTATGTACTTTTAAATAATTACAAAGCAAATGTCAATCTATTAAAAAGATAATTACCCTAATGACAATTTAATTTTTTCCGCTTTTGCTAGTTTTGTTTAAAACTATACAGCAAAATAACCTCAAACTAATTAAGACTTTTTAATTCATGTGATTTTCATGAACAATTTTTTCCGTCAGTCAGTCATAAGTGTGGATACAGTCAGAAGTCCACTAACAATCATACAATTAAGAAGTAAACAAAATTATCCGCTATGACAAAGTCAATAAAAACCTGTCAAAATAATCACGTAGAAAATAGACATAGACATTTAAAAATCATTTCTTAACACTTAAAGCACTGTGTAATTTCGTGAGATACATGAATTTGGCCCAGACGAGGAATTAACTTCAGCTCAATTAATCCCCTATTGAAAAACAGTAGAGATCGATAAGGGCAATAAATTTAGCCTTCATCCCAAACAAGTGAACGTAAATTTCAAGTTCACTGTCCCAATAGAAGGCAAATACATTATAAGCTATTAAAGGTTTAACAAAACATTTTGAAATTGTATCGTATAATAAAGTAATAGTACGGTAAGATTATGATATAAAGAAATGAAGTAATTTATACTTGAATATAATCAAAATATATTGACTTTTGAATCGATAAATTCAATATTACATTTTCTGAAAATAGATTTTATCACATGGCTTACGGGTACCGCGTTGTAGTGTCGGTTATGTTAAGTTCACATAACTTATTCTAGCTTCTGGACGGCCGATTTATCCATTCAACTTGAGTCACGTATTAACCTTGTAAATTATTTACTTATCAACCCTGATTGTTTTTATATACGCGTATGTGTGTTTATATCATATCTTACTCATCAAATGTCTGTAACTTATTTTTGTCCGGCTATAAATATCCATTATTGATTGATTAAATCGAGTTGGCTCACACGCCTTCTCCATCACGCATTTCGCTTCTCTCTTTTTTCCTCGCTTCGATTTTTCGCTCGCTTGTCTGTATCAACGATTGTATGAAATATACGTATTCGAAATTCACTTTCGTATTTGACTTATTTAATTCTGTTATTCACTGACGTGATTTAAGTCGAAAATTATATACGAAGATATCCAATACGTTTATTTCAATTACACTTATACGATCCAATTGGAGTCAGACACCAAGCCACTAAGGTGGCGAGTCCGTCGATAACATCATCCGATCTAAATGACGTCAAAAAGAAGAGCCCCACTAAGGCATGATTTGTAACATTGTGGTGTGTGCTACTTGTGTCGACAGATATAAGTAGTATGTGTCATCAATCGAAAGTGAGATGCCTGCCGGCAGAAGGTTAAGAAGATCGAAGAAAAGAGAACGAGAACAGAGAATGATTGAGAACGAAGGAAGAATCAAGCTTGAGACGACTGACTGACATTATGCAAATGAAGTATTGAATATACGATTCTCAGATTTTACTAAGACATCCTGTAATACTGTATTCGCATATATTCGGTTGTCCCCAACTGTGTGATCATTCACTACAACATTTGGAAGTAAGATAGTTCATGACCAATAATATGCTTTAAAACACAGTCGATAATGAATCTGATGATATGAATTAAAATTATGAGAATCCTACACTTAGTTAAGTAATATATATATATATATATATATATATATATATATATATATATATATATATATATATATTACTATTATTATTATTATTATTATTTTGCTACGGTTTGTCTTCCTAAAAAATGAAATAATTGTACAAAGTTCATTGAAAATAATATAATTAAACAAACTATACATTATGAGCAAAGATATATGGTGGCTAGCAATGGAACACAGGAAGCGCGTTTCGTCCTATTTTGGACTCATCAGCTAGATATAATCTGTATTCCAGAGTTAGTGTTCACTCCGGGACTATAATCCAATACCGTTCGCTTCAAACGCCATTGCGTTATCCACTTAGCTACTAAGTCCAGAAGATTCAAACAAACAATATAAAAATGAATTAAAATCTGTATATTAGTTTAGCAAAACCTATATTTTTAAAATGTAGTTCTAAATCCACCAAATAGCTTAAACTTCCAACTCTAGAACCTCAAAATAAAATCTATCTTGGAGTCAACACTAAAAACATTTAATATTTAACAAATCAGTAGGGTGAACTATTTAGCCGAAATAAAAAGTGAGTTTTCACAAATTCCAACGACAATTAAATATACTTCTAGGAAGAGATAAAGTTTACTATGCAAAAAAAGATTTGTTCAGCATTACAAGATCAGCGATAACTTTTCATTACTGCAGAATTATACTTAAAATCCCCTTTAAATTACTACACATAACCAAATGTACAATGTACAAAACATTACCTTGAACAAAATATAATAGCTTACCAAAATGGTTTGTGTCTGAAAAGAAGAGACCAGTTTAAATGTCGTAAAGGTACACTAGATACAGAATCATTATCGATACTTTTTGAGTCTATATAGACAAATGTTGATTCTGACGGCTACAAAAGAAACAAAGTAGACAATAACACAAGACCGACATGAATATAACTCAAAAAGATGAATATATTTGCAGTATCGATAATAGAACGTATAAATACACCTCCTAAGTAATTTTTTAAATACATGGTAAATGGATTTTCAGAAAGTAATGAAGTGATTGATTAATTAAAATGATTATATATAACATCTCCAAACACTAATTTTCCCGATTACTGCTTATACTCTTATTACCTCTACCACTACGGGATTTGAATCGGCCACTACATCTGTGTGCTAATATGGTGTGGCAACTCGAACTGATGTACGTACGTACGAAGTTCTACGTTGTTACTGACTGATATATATATATATATATATATATATATATATATATATATATATATATATATATATATATATATATATATATATATATATATTGGAACAAAGAAGCAGCAAATATATATATGCTACATTTAGTCATTCGATTTGTATGAGGGCTGGAATACTGCCCGAGCACCCAAACTGAAGCAGGAGTTTCCTTAGGGGGCAAGTCCTCGAGCCATTGACTTAGAGTTCTAATCCACAAGGCAGTGAAGAAGCGTTAGTAGATGCAGTCCCATGGTAGCCGGTGACCAACAATAGGTTCATACGCCATTTGTTTCTTCAGGATCCTGGAGCCCATGTGCACCACTGAACTGCAATAAAAGTTTTTCAACTCCCCTAGGTGGACCCTCCGTGTCCTCCAACCTAGTTAAAGTGATGGAAATTAGCTTTTCGTCCTCTCAATTTGGTAAACAACACCCACGCCGCGAGGAGGCATAATCAATGCTGGCCCTTCGGGATTATTTCTCCACAATACCTTTTTGTAACTGGATACAATAATTTCCATTGTATAACCACCTTTAGAAAAGGCAGGATGGATTATTACTACACAGTTTTGAGCTGAAATAAACTTAATAAACAATACAAAACAAATTCCAAAAACAAAATATGCTGTTCACTACATTCTTTATCACAACATCACTGGTAATAAGTATTGATACAACTTGTAATACATAAATAAAATTAAAAAGGTACAAAGGATGGTGACAAAAGGGGTGAGTAGTTAACAATACTTATAAACCCATCCACGCAAAATTGGCTTAATAAAAGAAGACTTAAGTTATATATGATAAGTCGTGTAGGTTGAACGCTATATACGATTCCTAAGCTATTTCGGTAACCCGCAGTCTAGAACTACACAGTGACTTGAACTCCAGAGAGAAGACACAAGAATGAGAGAAAACACTTTATTCCAAGGTTCATTCTAGTACAGAAAATCAAGGGTATTTATAGATGTTGGCGTCTGTTAAATCAACATCACATTTCAGCCAATCCGTTAACGTCATATTATGCTACCGACCAATGGTAGCACGCCACGCTGGAATTCTCGAACGTTCCATCATACTCTGATTGGCTAGGCCCTTCGGCTTCTTTTTGGGCCTTTGGAGGCTCCGTTGAGGTTCTCCGGAAGCCGACCCAACAATATACGACTTTAGTAGGGTGCCTTAAATACTCAGACGACTATCTGTGTGCAGTAAAATCTCATTAGAACTATTGCTAAATAAAATATGATTATTCTTAGATAAACCAATTCTTTAAATCCTCAAATAAACTAAGCCCGAGTAAACTGTTTTTACCATGAAACGCAATTAGCCTGATCATTGATAAACATTGGGTGGCATTGGTTTACGTTGTTTACAACCACTATTTCTCTTTATTTACCATTTCCATCAGTATGATCCGTCCTTAACAGCAAGTATGCACCTTCATACAATATGTATACTGTCGTTCACATATTCCTTTCATAATTTTATCATCGCATTATATGAGAAAAATGAATTTGTAAAAAGTAACATAAAATAACACTGAGTAATTTCATAATAAATTATTTTACCAAACTAACCGTCATTTTTTCTTCCACATCTAATATTTTAACACAATTTTCTGATTTCAATTCCCGACTTATTGTTACATTCTTGTTAATAAAATATGAATTTGTTAGTATTCTAGGTAAAATTAAATGCAATTTATGTGGTCTCTTAGTTTCACGGGTAACAATTAAATAGACAATGTAAGACCATGCAAAAAATGATATTCCAATCCAGAAAAACGGTGTACGCCAGCCATCGTTTTCAGCTAAGTAGGAACCCAGTGAACCACATAAGATTGTTCTGATATGATAATGAAAGACAAGAAAGTAATATTAAAATATTTTCGAAAAAAAATGTCAGACGATAAACCGATAACAAAATAAAACAGCATTGATTAACACCATGAGAAAAAGAATAAAAAATTGACCAGTCTAATACTATGTAACCTATAATTCTGCAGATTTAATTATATCAGTTAGTCAGACGTAATTAACGTAGAATCTGATACAAATGTGTTGACTCAAGTTCCTAGGTCTACACGGCGGCCCGCTTGAATATTTGGGCTACCTGTTTCTACCATCTAATTATTTCGACAAGTTATCTGTCATTTTGTTTTAGGGTCTCATTATGTCTATTAATCGCATAACCAATATAGGCACGTTTATGAAAAGCCTAAGACCTTTCGCTGCACAAGTTATAAAAAAATATAATAAAAGACATCGCGGTGGTTGGCAATATGAACATCAATCGTATGTCGATTTCCGAGCTGCTAAATTCTAATTTCCGATCACTAATTAACAAGGTGGACTATCTTCAATTCCTACTAAGTCAAAATGTGTATCGTAATTGTGGTTCATCACAATTCAAGAATCTTGGTTAAATGATTTACAGGGCGACTGCCTAGTATCACTATGTAATTTTAAAATCTATCATCAGGATCGATCAAACAATAAAAAGAGGTGTGGCGGCAGCGTAGCTATGTTTGTAAACGTGAACTGGTGTCGATCTACTTTTGTTTGTTTCAAGTTTTCAAATGACTTTATTGACTGTCTAACATTAAGATGCCGTCCAAAACATCTGAATAAATACAAATATGTTTATGTTACAAATGTCTACGAGACTCCAGACTGCACATCATCTGCGCTATTCATTTTCGCTGATGAAATCACTGAATTCGTTGTTACTGCCGTCAGTGATTCGCTTTCAGTTGTATGTGATGATTTCAATTCATGTGACTGTCGCTTCCTTACATCACTAGGTCAACAAAATGTAGTATATTTTCCTACACGGTTGAATGCTCATTTAGACTTTTTTTCGTTAATGACGTGGGTATATATGTGACTCGTAAACGTACTCCATTTTCTAGCTCGGACCACTGTATAATTCGTGTTCTACCTAAAGTATATGGAGAGCATGGAACGAGAACACTCTTACATCAAACCAAGAAAGTCAAATATATGAATTACTCAGAAGAAAATATTCGAAATCTGAAAAAGCATGCTTCGTACGACTAACTAGGAATTATTTATAGATGACTCACTGGGAAACACTACTGATGTTATCACTTGTTACCTTATATTCTGTTTTGATATTTGTTGTCTCACTGAAACCATTTTTGTAAGTCTTGATCGACTTAAATCTTCACAATTAAAACGACTACGGAGGGTGAAAAAAAAATCTACAAGGAGGAAAACTCTATTGAAGTTCGTAAGGAAAATGGGCTAATAAACCTAGAGATTAGACGTCTCAACTCTATGTTTAATCAAAAACTTCTGTCTTGTAAATACTCTCCAAGTATGTGGAAACTCTTTAAAGAACTTACAAGTGACAGGCTGAATGTTTGTGGGTTAAATAAGTCCTTTGTCATCTGATGTAATGCTCCCTATATCCACAAGTTTAAAGAATAGTTGTGTTCCTAGTTTCACTGAAACTGATGTCCTAAGATGTCTCCAGTTACTGAATTTACCCCAATGTTTAGGACCTGATAGTATCCCAAACCTCTTCTATAAAAAACATGCTGACGCTCTATGTTATCCATTCACGAGTATCTTTAACAGATCCTTCTCAAGTAATCTCATACCGAAAATGTGGAGACAGATAAAGATAATCCCTATACCTAAGAAAGTATCTGGTGATGAAAATGTGAAATTAAGACCCATAGCAGTAACTTCACCTTTCCTTAAAACAATGGAAAAATTATTGATTCTTCCACTTCAACCTGCGATATAAGAGCACATTGATCCGTATCAGTTTGCTTACACATGCAAAAGAAGCACCTTAGTTGACATTGCTGTTTTGCATCACAATATAGTGTTCGGCTTCTGTCTTTGATTTTATCTCAAGACAAATTTTACCCAACAAGGTAATCAGCGGCAACACTGACAGCTAGATAACCAATTGACTATGTTCCTACCTCTCTGGAAGGGAACAGTACTCTGCGTTTGGAGGAAAGTGTCCAACGCCCCTACTGTCTCATGAAGGTATGCCATGAGGAGCTTTTCTTTCACCTCTTCTCATTTTTTCTGTATGATCTTCCATCCTCCACAGAAAATACTTTTGTGAAATATGCGGATGATCCCACTGTATATATGCATATTACCTATTATTTTTTACTGTGTTGACGAGAGTGTTGAAGGCAGTTGGCAAGGTGTGTGGTGAATCGTTTGAGGTCATTAATAAAATGGTTGTGGGTAAACATCCAAACTCCTGCAAACTTCTGATAAATGTTATCTTCTCAGATCCTAATTATTCCCTTCATTCATATCTTTCTCTTTGTGTATCTTTTGGTAGAACGAGACGTCAATACACTAAAATTCATGCGCTCAAGCAACGGTATAAAAGTTCCATAATATCTTACCTAGCAAATATACTTTGTGACGAATGGGTTGTTAGAGTTTATCTAGTCAATAACCTGAATTCTTAAACATGTCTCTAGTTTGAAAAGTTGTACAGATTCTGATATTTTTTCGTCTTTTCCTCTTTTGTTGTTTTTTGTTTTTGTAAAAGAAACTTGCGGAAATACCTCGTGCTAAGAATTCTGTATTGTACCAAAATATAATATTGAATAAAGCCATTAACAGTAATAATAATAATAATAATAATAATAATAATAATAATAATAATAATAATAATAATAATAATAATAATAATAATAATAATAATAATAATAAAGACGAGATGAGAATAACAAGATAAATCACAAAAACAATAGGAACTGTAGTAGCAATGATACACAAGACATTCAAACCTTGGGAATATGGTTTGAAAAGACGGGGTGGGAAGACATACATGATTAAGAGGAAGATAAAGAGTGAATGCATTTGTGTTATTGTGATCGCTTCTGAGCCATGTAATCTAAAGTCTCTAACAAATGTTTATGGTTATTTTACGAACCTCAAACAGATAGTCTATATCTACAACTATGGCTCAAACCAACATTCAATGCGTTTGGTGAATAATGGAATGTTTTAGGTTGATTTCCTGTAGCTTTCTTCCAGCCTACTACTACATATTCTTTATTATTCCTTCATTATAACCCTTAAAAAGTGAACATTGCGTATAAATAATTGTGAATTTGAAAAATTTACAGAAATATATCCAATCAGGTCAGTCAGTCAGCTACAACGTAGGATCAGGCACATATGTGCATCGGTCCAGGTTGCCATACCTCGTTAGCACAGCAAGATGAACACCGGATTCATAGCAGTGATTAGGTCAAAGGTGTAATATATAAGAGAAAGATTGCACATAGAGATATAGTACAAGAAGAAAGAATAGGTTCGTAGAAAAAAAGATATGAAGTGATTTTAATCTCTTAGTTTAAGGGAAGACAGGGAGTGTATACACTGACGCCATTGTGATCGACTCTGAGCCATGTCACCAAGAGTCTCCAACCATTGGTTACGAAAGTCACGCGGACCCCAACCAAGTAGTCTGCATCTACCAACATGGCTCAGACTAGAAGTTAGTGTCTTCAAGCACTGATGCCACGTTTTGGTTTGGCCGCCCCTAACTTTCTTCCAACGATCTCCAATACCGGATAGCATTGCACGTCGTGGTAGTCGGTGTTCAGGCATACGTAACACGTGGCCCAACCATCTCAGTCGATGAAGATTCATAACTTCATCAACTGATTTACCATCATTCCCTAATACCCTGCGTCAAACCTCACTATTACTTACCCGGTGATCCCAGCAGATATCCAATAACCAAATTTGTCCTAACACCTACAGACTACTTATTATTTGTACTAAGAAAATAGACGAGAATCACATTAATAGCAAGTTCATCGCAAACGAGATATATTTTCGAGGAAATTATCATGAATTAATATTAATTACAGAAAGATTAACGTAACCAGAATGCATTGGATGACCAGCGCCTTCTAAATTAAGCAATTTAGGCAATGACCTTTCACTATCTAAATTATTTGGGTAGATAAGCTTAACTGTAAGTAGCTGAGGATCAGAAACATATATATCTTGGACAGCACATAGAAATAATCACTTTATTGTATTCTAAAAGATTTCTTACAAGTTTACATTTATTATTAACAATAAATGATTATTAACAGCTAGTTCTCAACGAAACAGTCTGGCAAAATTACCTGCATCTTATGTAAATAAGTATCTTATGAGCAATTTTGTATTATAATTACGATCAACATAACTATTACAAATGGCTTTATTCAATCTAATATGCATAGTACAACATAGAATTCTCAAAATAGACTATTCTAATCAGTTTCTTTAACCAAAAGAAATCGATAACTGGATACATTTATTTATGAAATAAGTAAATAAATTATCTGGAATTTAATCAGATGCTTTATAATAAGATTAGAATCTGTACAACGTTTAATTAGCAGCACATTTAAGAACACAAGTTATTGACTAGCCCAGCTCTAACAATTTATTCGTCACATAGTATGTTTAATAGATTAGGTATTGTAGAACTTTTATACCTTTGCTTGCGTGCATGGATTCTAATTTATTGATGTCTCGTTCTACCATGAGACATGCAAGGAGAAATATGTGGATGAAAGCAATGTGGAGAAAGATTAAAATAATTCTGATAACTAAGAAAGTATAAGAATGGAAAATCTAAACCCACAGGAGTAACTTCACTACTCTAAATAATGGAAAACTATTGCTACTTCCACCTCAACCCGCATCAAAAGAGCATAATGATCCACACCAATTTGCTTACTTATTTCACGCATAAATGTATCCAGTTATCGATTTATTTTGGTGAACGAAACTTATTAAAAGTCTATTCTGAGAATTTTATGTAGTACTATCCATCTTAGATTGAATAAATTATTGATAACAATAATAATAATAACCATTCCTGCTTTACCTCAATACACAGATTTTGTTAAAAAGATTGATAGGTTACACAACGATTCACCATTTTATTGAATTAAACTCTACTTCAGTTGAGTGGACTACTGTCAGTACCAGAAAGAGATTTCAACAGTGTTGCTGAACCGAATGAAAGATTCAGTAGACGCCTAACTTCGAGAACAACAGACCAAATAGTGATGCTACGGATAATTGTTGAACAATCAGTTTAGTAGAACTCGTCACTATACGTCAACGTCATTGACTATGAGAAGGCGTTTGTCAGTGTGGATAGGACACTACAGAAACTTCGACACTATGGTGTACCTGAGATGGTTGTCAACATCCGGAATTCATACGACGGACTACAGTGCAAAGTGCTGCATAGATGACAGCTGACAGACACACCCCAAGTAAGGACCGGAGGTAAACAAAGCTGTTTACTCTCTCCCTTTCTATTTGTTCTGGTGGTTGACTGGATTATGAAGACCTCGATATCTGACAGGAAGCACGGAATAAAATGGATAGGTTAGATACAACTAGACAGTTTGGACTTCTCAGATGACCTAGATCTATCTCATACATACCAACAAATGCAGGTCAAGACAAACAGTTTAGTGGAAGCCCCTACCCTATAGCAGTAGGCCTCAACGTACATAAAGGCGGCCTATGCTCCTTCGTGGGAGTTGGGAGGACAGGCGTAAGTAAGTAAACACAGTTGAGCGAATTTATGTTAATCCGTTTTCTAGAAGTCTATAGTTAATAGTGACTTGAAGTAAAACACGCTTTTAAAAGATTTTAAAGGCTATTACACTACAAACTGCGAAACTGAGATTCATAAAAATGTTTATAAATACATACCCCAAATGTGTACCAGCAGTTATCACAGCAAAAGTGATATTTCGATTGGATACTTGAACACGATTGGCCATTAAACTTGCTAAACTCGGATAGTAAAATCCTGAAAGTTTGGTAAACAGATAAATATTAGGAGAGTTTGTTAATTTTGTAGAATTGTTATCAGATGGTGTGTTAGAGTAAGAAAAAAGCAACTTAAATGATGCCAAACAACTGTTTCGACATAAAAGATATAATTTAGTATCTTAACTGTAAATATCATGCTGTTTAACTTACATAATTGTCATCATTTTATCACATTTACATTAAAGCATGCCTTATTTTTACAAGGTCCACTTCATATTTATGAGTGCCTAAATTCCGTGATATCACTATTAAAGGTGATAACCCTTTTTTAGTAGGTTTGAAAACCAAAGTAGACACAGTACCTTCACTGGTTGAACTGTCTTAAATTACATTTTACTTGATAGCAGTTGCATAAAGAAATAAATCGGAGATTGTTTTTACTTATTACTAACAATATATACTTTGACTAGTTAATTTTATTTTGATGGATATCTCTAACCGATAATATTGTCCTTCATCAACTTTATTAAGGCCTAAGTGATTAACTAAAAATATATATGAAAGCTGAAACGTAATCAGTCAAACATTCTCCAATTCTGCCCATCGTAACAATACATCAAAACGAAAAGTTATGTAAAAAGAGAAGCACGTATAAAAGTTGCAAAGTTAAAACGTTCAAATTTCTTTACATTGATTAAAGAAAAGTAAATAAATGACATAACAGTCAACATAACGAAACAGTACAATTTACACTCCGTTATGTCCTTGATCCGTCTACCCACTACTATGCATAGGATAACTTGTCTAAGTCTAGATTAAGACCTTGAAGCGATAGGGTGACTGATTTAACCTTGAAGCTAGAGTTCGAAGTGAGACTAACTGCTTAGGGCAGAGACTAAAATTATCCTGTCACCTGATTGACTGACAAGCACGAAAGAGAGAAGACAAGTCAATTAGAACACTACTTGATTTATTCCCAATTCCGATCTGGTTCCCGATTCAGATTAGTGTAAAAAAGATAAATGAATAAACAGATGACTAACCAGACCACAATGCACAAAAAATTAGGAAAAATACAATCACATCCCAAAAATGGGTATCACGGCAGAAAATAGTACAAAATATTATGTTTAAATTACAATAGCTTTGGAACAAAAAAGGTTATGGCAGTGAATGATACATCAAAAGAAAGCCTTTGGTCTGTAGAATAAACTAAAAACAAAAATAAATTTTAGTGCCTTACAAGCCTTGAATTAAATGAAATAGCATTCCCAAAATCAGCTTCCGTAGTTTATCAAGGCTTCCTGTTTCTTTGTTCACATCACAACCGAATTATATAATACATACATAATAATAAGAAAATCAGACTATACATAGTTGGTCACACGAAAAAATTAATTGTCCCACTAAAGAAGGCACAGGAAGTTAGCAATTACCATAGCAACATGGGTGGAGTACAATTATTTAAATATAACCATAGTAGCATGTCATAAATGAACGATTATAACATAACATAAAATTTGAATAATGTCACCAAGGAAAAAGTAACCATGGCCCTAGAACTGGGACAATTCCACCTTTGAAACAGTCAGTTCTTTGAAATAAAAGCAGAGTTGCCGTGGTAAAACTTGACTGAGAAAGTATAACTGTTAAGCGATTTTTTTTACCTATAGACTAAATTCGATCCAAATCACAAAATAATACGATAATGTATAGGTATGTCTAGTACAGTATATTTTATTCGATATTACCACATGAAATCTTTATTTTACTATGTATCAAGATAAGGCTTGGTAGACGACAATTACATGACTTTAATTATCACGCACTTTAGAAATGCAGGGTAAACAAGTTATGAAAAAAAACAGTCAGTCATACTTAAGATTTATACATTGGTGCCCTAAGCTACACTATTCCAACTCCAACTTTAATACGGTGGTCATTGGTGAAAGAGACTACTTTGATTCTCGATTAACTACAGTAAGAACTTCAGTTGACTTATGCAAGTTTATTGATCAAGACCCATTAAAATTCAAAAAACATTTACGATAATCTCTTATATACCAATTACAATGATTTACAACAATGAAATAACACCCATCCAGAAGTTGTGTTACGCAATACTTATATAATATCACCTTAATTATGAAGTAATATTAAGTAATTGGAAGAAAGAGGATTGTAATAATCAAGGTAATTATTCGGAAAATCAAACAGTTATCACATTGCATAGTATATAAAAAGAACTAACAAAATATTTTGATAAAAGTTTGGTAATATAGTAGTTATGTAAGAATCAAGAGATTAATGTTGGTACCATGTAGAAAATACAAAAGTATAAGAAATTGGAACATTATTTAAATATTTTTGAAGAAAAAGTTTTAATTAGACTTCGGCTAAACACTAAGACGATGGCCAAGGTAGCGTGAGTGGATGTAAACACTTCCATCGGATCTAAGTCAAGTTTGTGAACACGGATTCCAACAGTTTCAGCAATACGCAACTGACGAACTCGTAAACCATGTGTTAAATTTCATGCAATATGGTAGATAACCTTAAAAGCATTATTCAATCCAACTTGGTGACCTGTGTCCACCAAGTAAACGAGAAAGGAACACTTAAGCACTTTTATCTGTCCTTTGCTCAATCAAGACGGATGGTGTTCTGTTATACGATGACGGACTTGGCGAACTGTAAGCTCTACATAACTGACTCCAAAGGAGCGGTTGAACTGCTGAACACACATGGATGTAGAGAATTCAGGAAATCTAACTAGAGTAAATGTTTTTTGGACCACCTTTCTTAGTTCTTGAGTTACAATTTCTTCGGTAGCATCATTTAAAAATTGTAAACTTAAGAACAGTACTTTCTTCAGAATGGTAGATACATTTGGTCTTTTTTCCATATCATTCATGTTTATTGATGAATTTCATTGGATATCCGTCCTTACTAAGCAGGTTACGAATATTATTCAGCTCATCAAAGAGAATCCTTCTAGCACGATGTGTTACGATCTTTACCAAGCTCCTCTTATATCTGATTGGTACAGTACTATAGAAATGAGTGTATTGTCCGAATTCGAACTTTCTATGTATCCTATTCTAAGTGTTCCATCTACTCTTCTCGTAAGTTAGACATCTACAAACGAACAAGAGAAGATAGAATACTAAAGAGGGACACATAAAAAGTCTGCAGTTGGACAATATACTCGAAGACTTCATGCACTGTTAAGATATTTTAATCTGACCATCCAAGCTTTTTCCCAACCTAATTCTACACGAGCTAATATGGGTTGATTAGGCATACGTGATATCTGAAAAAGATATAATAATAATAACTAGTGATAGAAATAGGATAACAGTATATGGAGCATTCAGACAAAACGTAGTGAATTGTACCGGGTGGAAAGATTTTTAGGCCGTATTACTCAAAATTTTCAAACTATTATTTACTCATATCAATCGCATTTCTATGAACTAAACCAGTTATGCATAACACTAATTTGTTTAACAGATACTGAACCGATAAACTGACTTTTGAAATACTTCTGTTCAAACTGTAAGAGGTTCATCCAAATCAGACACTAAGTTGACTAAAAATAAGTCGACAGGGATAGAAAAACGACAGCATAGCTGCATGGTGACGCAAGCTATTACACAATACATCATTATAAGGTGGGAAAATCAATAAGAGAAGAACCAAAGATAAATACTTAGTAAGTAGTAATAAAGTAGGGGGAAAAGGTAATGTAGATGGGTAAGTACAATGTATGGAAAATGTAAAACAATAAGACCTTCTAGTTGTAGGTTATATTTGAATGATTGAGTTTTTTCTAGAACCTTCATTCAGAAAACTAAAATCTTGCTAAATGATACGAATTATTGACTAAAAACCTAAGGGTTTGATTGTATGTATTTATTTAATCACCCTGACACTTTACATAGTATTCCATACAGCACGAGACGTTGAAGTTGGTAATGACTAGACACACAATATGAACATTCCCCAAAGCCAATGGACATTGTGAATAAAAACCCATTAATGTGGAATCGGATACAAAAAATATTCACAGACCACACCCAATAGGTGACAATAGTGTAAATGATCTGTTCTGCTTGGTAAATAGGAAAATATCAATATTATATTAGTACATCATTTATGGAATATCTGCACAACGGTATGACAAATTTATTAGAAATTCATCATTTAAATATGAATCTTTATATACAACGGGTAATGTATTTTGAAAGTAAGCAAATAAACGTCTAACATTAAGAAGGTATAAGCACTAAACAGAACAATCGGATAGAAAGCTATGTAAGATGGGCTAACTTAAACATTTGCGTTCTAAAAATTCTTCTACTCGAAAACAAACAATATCAGGAACGCAATGATACATAAAACTTACCTTGAAATATCCCCAGTAAAAAGCGAGTAATTATGAAAAGCCCATATATATCATTTGAGCCCAGGTTGATACTTGGGAGCCATATAAAGCAAACGGTTAGTATAGACCAACCAAGAGAACTGATTGCAATTACAATTTCTCCACCAAACACATCACTTAGATAACCACCCAGGTACTGTGTAATAGCGTAGCCCCAAAAGAAGATGCCCATCATGAAACCCTGTAGAAAAAGTGGTATCATATAAAAGAAGTTGCTTTAGATGATTATCTGGTAACCCTCTTGTAAGACACTAAGGCATTAAATTCATAGTAGTAAGAATACTTTAATAGACACAGTGATGTGTTTGCCTCAATTATGAATTACATTCTCTTTATTTATTAACCATTTTTAGTAAAATATCTGAAACAAATATCAAATACAATAAAATGAAAACTACTCAAGTAAGACAGGAATTTTTACACATGTGAGTCGCTGATTGAGATCAGAACTAATGAGCATTTCTTCCCCTTGGATTATTGAAGTTTGTATACACAACTAATCTAGAATCAGAGTTGTCCAACTCCGATGGATGCAACTTACACATTCACAGACCTATGTTAAATGTCAGAGATTTTTATGACAACCCTGCCGCATGAGTGAAGAGAAGCGATTTTCTTACGAAGTTCGCAAGCGCTTTATCATTAAAGAGTATCTCGAAAGACAGACCAGACCCCTATTATATTATGCCGCATTTCCGCTTTAAGAGGTTTAGCACAACCTACCAATCAAGCAAAGAAGTGTGTTCCCCGTTTTTAGCCATACCCACTTTGTGAAGGCGAGTGTAGCTAATCAGCTGACCAAGCCCTGACAGATAAACTACAACAAATGATTCACATTCAAGTACTTTAACCAATAAAGCGACGGTACAGTTAAGAGAATAGGTTTGCCGGTTTTCAGCACTAAAGTGGAGAAGCTTGCCAGCTGAAAGCAATACCCCATACGGTACATTTGGCAGAAGTGAGGAATTCACTATTCGGTTGAACCATCATATTTGAAGATCAATTTTTCTACTCTTTAGATGATAAAACTACAAGTAATCCAAATGTTTAAAAGTAACTTTCTCACCAAGTTTTTTGGGTTATCCAAATTAATTAAAACCACTCCATAACAACCGAAACGTCTTATTTTTTATTTGTAAAAAGGTTAAACGGTCGAACATATCAGCAATTCATCAATTTGATTGCGAAGATAATTGCAACCTTGCAAACATTTATTAAGAATTGTTAGTTTTATTGAAACTCCCTTCAGACTTACCATTTCCTTACGATTCCAATTCAATTCTGAGGCAATAGCAACGGAAGCGATCGGCATTACTCCCCTAGAAGCATAGAGGCCGACTGCACCAATAAACAAAAGGCACATCCATTTATGTCTTTCAGTTCTGGTAAGAGAAAGAAAGTAGGATAGTTAATAGTAAAAATTTTGGAGTTTTTCTAAATATCAAATATCCAGGTTCCCACAAACTAAGAACTATATTTAGCAATGATCAAACAGTAAAAATAATCAAACCTTTGGGTTGACTTTATAGTGACTTAAATAAAATAATAATAATGACTACTACCATACCTAATGAAGGGTAAATTTTAAAAGCAGATCCCAAAACTATCAATATGCTGAGAATTAATTTAAGGTGATAAAGACCATTATTTCTTCAAAGGAAAAAAATATGACAAAAATGTTCAGAAACAGCCAGGTGATAGTCAGTTGTAATTAACATAGGGCACGACAAAAATGTGCAATGGGCCAAATTGTCTATACAATACAAGGCAAACGTGAAATTTTTTAATAACATGAACGGAGAATAGAAAGCATTCTTCTTCCAACTGTGTTGTTTAATTTTCTATAGGATTTTATATTATTAGCCAACTACGTAAAACCGACTGAAAACAGATCAGTGAAAAGTTGGTGTCGATGTAACGTAACTTTCACTTCTTGAAGATATTTAAAATTAGTCCCGATGCATTGATTTCATGACAAAAGTATGACTACTGGGTGATACATTCGAAGTACAAGTATTATCTTTGTAGTGACTAATTTAAGAAGAAAATTATTTAATTACGCTACCATTTATAGAATATGGATGCAAGAAATTAAGTACATAACAAGTATGGGTGGTTGGGCCAAAAAATATATATATAATATCCTTCACAATATTGCTGTTATAAAACCTTTCAATGACTTGTTTGAAATGTTTGTAAAATAAAAACTTTTAGAAAAAAGTGACTGCTTCATGTAAATTTGGTTAACATATGCTGTCAGGTTAAAATTCAAACTTAGTTTGATGTATGTCGTGACATTTAAATTACCAATTTTTTTTAAATAAAATAAACATATACCCTGTAAATCTTATTATAAACAAGTGTCGTAGTAGATAAGTGACTATGATGTTCCAAAACATCTATGTGATTCACCAACCTTAAGTATTCAGCTCTTAATCCAATGACTCGATAAGAGACAACTATATGACACAGAAAATTAATCGAGGTACTTTTGGTGTCGAAAGTCAACTGAGCTTCCTTACATTTTTATGAGGTCAATGTGTATACTTATGCGGATGGTGGCACTGAATTGTATCTTAGTATTCGATTGGATAAAACTAATTTGCTCTTAGTGCAATAGTTTACATTGGGGATTGACCTTCATTAGATAACCACTGAAGACCAGAAAGCCATGAACAGCTGTTTTGACCTAGTATAGAATCTTCAGCGGTGTCTGTTCACCACTTTACCAAGTAAAAAAACCAGGACGCACGCGTTTTGTAGTGAGCTCTTAACATTTAAACAACTGAGCTGGAATGGAATTGTTTGCAACTTTAGATCCAACCAATTTGTGATATTGAGCAACCAACTTTTAGTGACATTGACGGCCCCCAAATGTAATGGTACGGCCGAGGGCAAGGAGGGTTAGCTCTCCATCGCGAATGGTCTCACATGGCCGCACGTGAACAGCCACTACCAGGGAATTCCTACTCACTGACTTCTTGCGACGAAGGTGTTGCTTACGAAATTGAGATGGCAAAAAGCGAATGTTCGGCGGACTAACGGGTTGGTAGACCCTCCGTGTCCACTTAAGGGAGTTGAAAAACCGTAATTCCAAACCAATGGTACACATGGGTTCCAGAACCCTGAAGGAACAAATGGCATGTGAACCCTATTGTTGGTCACCGACTACCATGGGACTGCTTCTCCTGACGTTGCTCCACTGCCCTGTGGATCAAACCTGTAAGTCGAAGGCTCTGGGTGTACCACCCTAAGAAAACCACCTGCTTCGGTCTGGGCATCCGGACAGTATCACAGCCCACACACAAATCAGGTGACATGTGTGGCGCATATGTATTTGATGCCCCTTTGTACCAATATTTATGTGTTCAAATAATAAATAATAAATAAATAAAGAACCCCACATGGGCAGACGAACTGATAGATGATATCAATCACACAGAGCAGACTTTAGCAGGGAGCATTTCTGACCATTACCCTGACTGGATACAGTCAGTAAAAGCTCAACTAGTTTATTCTGGCCAACTAGCTGTACGAGAGACCTCCTTCAAAATCATTCATTCAGGAAGAACCAGATTAAAAAGAAAATAGTATAAAAAATCACTTTCAAGTACACAATAGTCTATGCCATTGTCTATACGAAAATAACAAGAAATCAAGAGTAAATCTTAAGGCCAGAAATAAAAAACCCGCACTACCAACTTACCGGCTCCACATGGTGGCCATCTGATTCTGAAGAATATAATACAAATGTCGACAAATATTTACGAGCAGACTATAGAACGAATTTAGTCAATTCAGTCTTCAATAACCAAGAAAGTAGGTTGACAGACCTGTGTTAACCCTTGCAGCTTGTATTTTAGTGAAGGTTCAGCTTCTCTTTGAAAACGTTCGCTGATGGTGCTGATACCACTTGTTCAAGTAAGGCGTCCCAGTCATTGACTACTCGAAGACAAAAACGGAACCCTACTCTAAGTTTCTGAAATCGCGGTTTTTGAACCTTCTTGCTATGGCCTTGGAGATGATTAGTTCTGGAAGGAGCAAAAGTATAAGACATACAAACATCCAAGACATTATAAAAGATATGGAATACCAATAACATGTCACCTCGCGTCTGAAGATACGATAAGGCGACAAAGTTCAGTGCTCATCGTAAAAGAAATTTGGAAAGACCCGTCACTGACTTTTTTCCCACACGCCTAGCACTCTCGATCGTGTCAGCATCCTTAATAAGAAATAGATGGCTGCTTAGACACAGTACTCAAGATGTGGTCTTACATAGGTGGCTTATAAAATCGGACAAAACTCGTCAAAGCATTCGAATGCTCGGTCAGGTGACCATAACTCTCGAAAGAAGGACATCTCATCAAGATACCAAAGAAAGGCGATCTCAGCAAGTGTGAGGACTACAGAGGCATCACTCTTCTCTCAATACCAGGAAAAGTCTTCAACAGGGTATTGTTATTCAAAATGACGGAGTCTGTAGACGCTCAACTTTGAGATCAACAGGCTGTATTCCATGGGAATCTATCGCGTATCGACAAAATCGCAACAGTCTATCATTGTGGAACAATAAATGGAATAGAATTCACCACTCTGTATCAACTTCATTGAATTCGAGAAGGGATTTGATAGCGTGAATAGAACAACACTATTCAGGCTTTTTCGCCACTATGGCATGCCTCAGAAAATAAACAATATTCTACGGAATTATTATGATGGATTAAACTGCAAGATCGTGCATGGAGGACAGCTCACAGACTCATTCGATGTAAAGACTGATGTCATGCAAGGTTCCTCACCATCACCCTTTCTCTTTCTCCTGGTGATCGACTGGATCATGAAGACGTCAACATCTGGGGGAGGAAGGATGAGATACAGTGGACAGCTAGGAAGCAGCTGGACGATCTAGGCATACCAAATGATCTGGCTCTTCTATCACACACGCAACGACAAACACAGAACACGACCAGTGTAGCAGCAGCCTCAGCAGCAGTAGGTCTCAACATACACAAAGGGAAAGCAAGATTCTCCGATACAACACAGCATGCATCAATCCAATCACAATTGACGGAGAAGATTTGGAAGATGTAAAAACCTTTACATATCTGAGCAGAATCATTGATAAACACGGTGCATCTGATGCAGATGTGAATACGCGGATCGGCAAAGCAAGAACAGCATATCTACAAATGAAGAACATCTGGAACTCAAAACAACTGTCAACCAACACCGAAGGCAGAATTTTCAATACAAATGTAAAACCAGTTCTACTGTATGGGGCGGAAACCTGGGGAACTACGAAAGCCATCATCCAGAACATACAAGTGTTTAATAACAGCTGTCTACGCAACACATTTCGGATCCGTTGGCCAGACACTATCAGCAACAACTTACTGTGGGGGAGAACGAACCAGATCCCAGCGGAGGAAGAAATCAAGAAGAAGCGCTGGAAGTGGATAGGACACACATTGAGGAAAGCACTCAACTGTATCACAAGGCAAGCCCTCACATGGAATTCTCAAGACCAAAGAACACATTACGTCGGGAAATGGAGACAGACATGAGAAGAATGAACAACAATTGGATAGAAGCAAGAAGAAAGGCGCAGGACAGAGTGAGTTGGAGAATGCTGGTCGGCGGTCTATGCTCCGTTGGAAGTAACAGGTGTAAGTAAGTAGTGTACGAAAACAATCGTTTGGGGCAGGTATAACTATCATATTCTCATTATCTTTCGTAAGTGGTGCGGTATCTGGTTACTGTCTTTTAACAAATATTCCGGATTTTCCAGTACTTATACTTAAATGATTCGTGGCCTGTCGATAAATACAAGTCCCACAATTACTTCCCACTCCTGATCAGTTTTCAGGTTTCCTTACAGGCTAGCAATTTCTAATATATCACACAATGTCCGCTGCTTTGAGGTCTACAAATTTACCAATTCTAATATAGATCTATCCCGCAGTAATTGAAGAATATTCCAGGTCTAGCATGAGCCACGTTCCTTTGACAACAATTATATCGAGACTTAATCCATCCACCATAAAACGTGCCTTGTACGTTTTATTTCTTAGGCTATGAGGGTGTGTGTAGCACGCATTTAAGGTATTTTAGAGTCGTTCGCTCTACTCATGAAGACCACGGGAGCATTTTTTTACGACTTGATTACCGGAAAACCCTTAATCTTAGGGTTTGTTACGTCTTTTCACTTCCATGTTTGTTAATTCATTAAAGGCGCTTTGTTACTTGACTCGATCTATAAGTAAACAATCTGGTTGGATACGTATATTCAAATCACGAGTTTCGAATGTCATGTAGTATAACATCCCCTTACTCGTAACTTTCGAATTTTACCTTCAAGTCCCTTTTTGACTGAATATTTCCTCTGACCCACCTTTCTAATCTTATTACTTTAGTAATATAAACTGCTAAAACTTCTTTTGACAATACATTACTGATGGTAGACCCTACTAAATTAACAACGTGTGCACGCTCTTCAGTAAAGTCACATTTTTACTCCATTACACTCCAAATTAAATTAGGAACGGATTTTACTTTTTGGAAAGTGATGTTTACGGCTTTCCATCGTGCTGCCGTTTCCTGCCTGCAAACTACTGAGCTTTTCTTTAGATGTTTATGAATACGAGCTGTTTGACGCGGAGAAATTACTTCAAATAATATTCAATGAGGTCGATTTTTTTCAGTCACAACAATCAAGACTTACTTGAGGATATGGTGGAATATTTTGTGATTCACAATGAGATTCTGACAAAAATTGATTAACGAAACAGGTGTTTTATATGGCTGTTTTCTCGTTCATTTCCCATCAGTCAGGACAACTACGTTAGAACTACCTAACACGTTGGAAGTTTCATCTGTGTCTTCAGGCATGTCTGTGCAAAAAATGATGAACAATAACCAGTGGTATTTCACTTTCTATTCGTTTGTAAAGGATTTTCCTTATAAATGTCTCGCAGTCGGGTGTTTAGTTCATCCCGTAATAGCACTTATTACACCGAGACAACCTTTGCTGTCAGTACTTATGTTGCTAATCAACGTATAACCAACTTTATTGCTGGCCAACGCCAAAAGCTTCGTTCCCTTTTGTATCTGTAGCGTCTGAGTCGAACAGTAAAACATATACAGCCGATGGAAGTTAGGTTTCATGTATATTTCGTATGCAGTGAGATTGAAACAGTTACAGATTCTGCAAGACCATTTTTTACGCTCACGACATTGCATCCCCCTATCCACAAAATTAAAGCTTTTGGAAGTCAACATTTATGAAGTGAGCCGACCATTTTATAGATATTTGCAAGTGAAAAGTAGACAAAGTACATACATAAAACGGTGTAATAATCATCTCGAAAACGTATCATAAAACAGACTTAAATACAATTCCAAAATAAGAGCACAATACTAAATTTAGATGACATGTAAATATAAATAAAAACCACAAGTACCATAAATATGGGCTTTGTTGGAAGCCACGCCAAGGTTAACCGACAACCTTGATATTTAATACTCACTAGTTAAACAATAATAATCAATTTCTTTGTGACTCATAAAAAATTGATCTTACAGCACAACTTTAGTGTCTAGTAACTTCACAGTCGCAGAATGTGTGAAGGCGAACGTCAATATGTCTTTTAACTCCCATAACTGTGCCAGTCCTGTCTCTTGAATGAATTGTTGATTATCTTAAGTTCATTCTGTCTTGACGTTCTCATTAAGTAAACTTTAGTTCCGTCAAGCAATAAAACATTTTGTGAACTTGTTCAGCAGCTATTGAACCTTTCGAACTCCTGAGTTAATCATAGTTTGATGCGGTCACTTCTGGTTCCTCGATGTTTGAGAGAGAATAACTTTCGGCGAATATATTTAATGACATGTTCGAAATTTCACTAGCTAAACTGATCTATTATGAAATGTAATTTTTTTCAAATTGCCGACTTATTTCGATCATCATTTGATATTATCCCGTGAGCCGTTCATTATTTTTGAGCACGTGAACATTCATGAACAGAACACATCAAACAACTACTGACACAGAGCACAAAGTTGAGCTTGTAGAATGACAAGATGTTGAAAGTTCAACATCTCACCCGTGACGTTCTAAATATACAAGAGAAGCATATACAGCCATTGCGAAATCACTGAACCTGGAATAAATTTTGACGTAATATTGAATATGTTCATCATAACTGGAAGTACTCAGATTATTGTAATAACTAGTATTTCCCCAAACAGTACCATTTAAACCTGTCAGAAACGAATGAACACAAATGGACGTATTGTATTTCGAATTCGTTATAAGCGGGTAATCAAGTGCAAAGGAGTCATTAGTTCGTACAAATACCATGATGTAACAAAGCACCAATCTAATGAGTAAAATATTGGTGTATCCTAAACTTTAAACAATGAACGTCAGGCAGCTGGAACATTCAGATCAGTCCTTTAGTATACCTGTACTACAAACGTTTTCGAAACACTACGAACTAAAAAACGACAAGATAACACCAAAAGATTTCCTAATATATTTTTACACCGTTAGGGATGGCTAACACCACGAAAAATCAGTTTAGAAATAACTCGTTAGGTACTGATTTTACAAAGTAGTTCTGAGAGCATTCGAGAGGTACATAATTTATGCTAACTTGGTTCTTAAATTGTGATTAACAGCTAAACAGTTTCGGTAAAATCATTCCAAACAAACGCACGGCTTACGGCTTGAAACACCATTGTCCGTAAGAGAACTCACACTCTAAATGATCGGAAATTAATTAACTCGAAAGTCACTTGTGATCAAGTTACAGACAACGTTTTCAAATGATTAGGTCAGTTTCCAGTAGAGTAGCATAACGTTGTCTATTCCTCTTTAACTTCAAAATGTTTAAACAAATTTGAAGTATATGCGAAACGAGCCTCAAAATCCGGTCTTATTCCTACGTTTAAATGCAAAAAGAAAGGCCTGGTAAACCTAAATCTAGAATATCAATTATTTGAAAATCTGTAGTAGTATTCTGGAGTCAGAAGGCTGCGTGTTCGAATCACGTCGTGCTCACCAATTGTAGCGTGGCGTCGAGTTGAGATTAACTATGAGCACCGCTACCAAGAAACACGTGCCAGATAAACCAGAAGGCGAGGATTGAAGGTAACCAGATTTATTTCGTTGGCGATCTCGTGGTATTGAACGAATACCCAGATCGTGCCAAAAAAAGGTACAAGCGAAAGCAGAAGACAGGAGTACGTGCGAACAGTACCAAAAACCGCGGAACAATGATGGAAGGTAATGGAAGCACAAAATGGCTATAATTAGCACAGTTAAACAAAAGCACATTAAAACAAACACTGGTACAGTTGGTTATAATAATGATTGTTTTAATTAAACCAGTCGTGTTCTCGTGATAAACGTGAGTCACTACAGTATATTGAGACTTACAAAACCATGAAAAACCCTGAGTATTCACATTAACGCTAATCGTAAACAACATTGTTGGTGATAATAAATAAGTTCAGACACAAGACTCAATATTTTACTGGGATTACACATTATACTAAATGACAGTGTTCAAGAATCGCAACTACCATCTACGGTTTTTGATCACTAATATGTCGAGATGTCTATAAACATTTCCGCGAAACGTAAATACATCTTACATTCATCTATACACATTCGGTAGAAGAAGGAATTCTCTGAAGACCTACTCAATTTCTTTCCATGAACATTATATTAGTCAGTCTTTCTTCGAGCATTGTATCTTATCCTTTTTTCCATAACTTATGAAAAAACTATTTTGTGGCGCTTAATGTTCTTTGATCTGGGCTTTATACATTGATTCAGTTGAAATTGGAAATTTTCATTGCTGTATGATCTCAAGCCATTGAAAGTAATGCCTAGTTCAAATAAACTCGACATCACAACACGCAGAGACTGGAAATTGTTGTCTTTTGGCTGCCAGCTTGGAACTGCCATTCGAATCTTTGGAGATAGACACGTGGCCACACTTTGTTAAGAAAGTCTGCATTGCTTCTTTGATATGCTAGCATTTCATTAGCCATTTTTGTGTTGTTTGCTAATTCGTGCAACAGTAGCATTTGACAACATAACGCAAGCTTTATTGTTAAGTATCATATGTCTTCATTCAGTATACTTATTTTTACAACAGAAGCACTAATATTAAGCACGAAGTCCGTGTCACGATATAGTTTTTTATGAATGACTGGCAAATTCTTCATATATTATTACATGGGTATCCGACTAAGTCGGATGAACTGCGTTTTCACCAAATAATGGAATATTGGTCGTTAGGCCTTTTCGACCATAAACACATGTAATTCTAATGGAGTAATTAACTTTACTGGTCCATCATTCATTCCGTAATTTAGATAAAAATGTAAATATGTTTGTCAGATTAGATAATTCTAATAACTCGCAAAAAAGTCCAAATGCACATGAAATTAAGACATTACACGGGGATCGCGAAAAGTATGCATTTAATGAATTATTGAGTTAAAAACAGAATTCCATCCAAAACAAAATTATCTTTAACATGTTGTACCTGTAGGAAGCTATATAGTTAGATGCAGCAAACAATTTGTACATGTGTCAAGAACTTATACATCATAAAAATTTGCGAAGCTTGCAAGATAATTCAATCCATCAGTGCAACAAACCAATAGGTCTTCCGTTGTAAATGACCAATATTAATATCTATAGCTAACAGTCTCGGAGTATTGAGACATACCATTTGAAAACCATACTATGTGGATGGTTTCGAACAATGAACTGAAGCAAAAATAACGGTTGTGTTGAATTTTCGTAAGCCAACCATGTAGTCATATATTAAGGTTGGTGCATGAACAATGAAACCTGATGTTTTGTGGTCGAGTGTACATACTTTTTGAAAAATGTCACAACTAACTGCAATATCCGACTCGATGACATGATGTTAACAAATTAAGGACCCAAAATAAACACAAAACATATTTACATTGATTGATATAAAGCGCTGAGATGTGGAACTACATGTAGCAACATGAGTGAAAAAGACCCGATTTCCCCTCTGATATTTGAAAATTATGTTAGTCTCGAAAGTGCAACCAATGTTACGTTTAATGAAACAATTAGATACGTAGATAATTAGTTTTATTCTGAAAACCAAAGTTACTACAATATTCAATGCAACAGTTCTTAATCAATCCATAGAATAAGTAATTATTAATCAAAGTATATGCGTGTAATAATGAAGTTAAATGTTATGCAAACCTTGTTTCATAAATAATAAATTATATAACTCATAGTAAAAATTTGAAGTTTAAGGAACTAGAGACTAATAATATTATTATTGTAAGTAACCGTTGTATAAGTATATAAATGTATTTGGTTGTGTACAACATAATCTTTTCTATTTTATTATCATATTAAGCAAACATTTCACATATATTCCATATGTCAACATATAAAATAACACATATGACAAGTCATCTATGTAACCGCAATGATTTACATTAATCAGTGTACAATACTGTAAATACAACTTCTATATTCAACAGAATTTGTACTCATCGAGACAACAAATTCATGTTTTTTTTCTCTTTAGCTCTCCTTTCTATAATTTCATTTTTTTTTCTAATTCATATTAGCAAAAAAAAGAGAACGAATAAATTGAGGTAAGTCTCGTACGTAAAAAATCATGTATTTATATGCAAGAAAAAGGAGTTGAACAGTTAACCCAACCTAAATTAAAAATGAATATGGAGTAATAAAATCGGTGAATGAGAAGACAACACGTTCTAGGTTTTCATAGATGGAAATAAAAGTGGCAATCGACTCTTTTTATGTTTCTTAATGTCGATTTGATGAATCTAGTTTACTTAGACGAAGTGCCAGTTCAAGATCAGCTTCTTCTTGTTTCCGAGCTTCTTCCTCGATTTGTGCAAGACGTTGACTTTCAATGATAGCCCATGAGAGTCTTGCTTCATCAGATAACGGAACATCACTGCCACCACTCGCAGACTTCATATTCTTTATTTTATTTATTAATGATGGTGAAGATGATGATGGGGAATTTTGTGGATCCTTTTTTATACTTTTACCAGAAGGTTTCGATTTTAGAGTGAATGTTGATTTCTGATTAATTGAATTACTACCGCCAACACCAGTAACGCCACTAACTGAATGTTTACGATATCTTGATGGAATAGTAGCCATTGTTGACGATAATGATGATGAATTATTAAAGTCTGTAAAATCTCCATCAAAGTTAGCGGGATGAACTGAAGTAGGAAAATTAGAATTATCATCCACAGACTGTAAAAATAAAATAAGGGAATATAAAAGTATCATTAGTACTCAATATCAGCATGCGAATTGTTAATTTGTCCAATTTCGGTGATATCGAGTACCAATCTAAGTTGGAAAACCACTGAAAGCCTTAAAGCACTGTACACGCATTTATTCCTAGTATTGTACTACAAAACGGTCAGCATCTACAAGGCTGAGGATCGAAAACAGAACATTCGGTATTAAACGCAAAGACTAGACCACTGGACACTCTGAGCCACGATCCAACTGTGAACAAGTTTAAATTAAGTCAATTCATGATATTACGTAGCCGGAAATCGAATCCACTAAAAACAATGGTGAAACAAAATGAATCAATTGGAGATAGACCAGTGTATACCGAAAGTTCAAAACTCGACTCCCGGATGATTACAGACAAGGAGTTCCGTAACACTAGAACAAAGCAGCCTCCATTTTTTTCACGTTTCCAGAAGCTCATTAACGTGAATCTGCTCGTGACATCAATAATATATATATATATATATATATATATATATATATATATATATATATATATATATATATATCGGGACAACTAATGGATGGAAATATTAGAATTATTCTAAGAATAATTATTGTATGCCATCTCATTGTGTAGTTATGAAATTCTTGTCACAAGCTTTCATTCTATCTACAAACTATTATCATATGTTCTACCTTTCTTAAATTATCTTCAAATAATTAGGAACTATCATTGAGTTTGTTCGAATTATGCAGATATTATGATTTCTTAAATGTAATATTTTGTAGTGATTTAAATTATGTATAAAATACAAAAAGTCTACTGAATCCAAATAATATGGAAGACATAGTACATACAACAGTTTCCCCTTATTCTGATAACGTTAAACTTACTTATTGTATTAACTCTTTAATTCTTTACAGCCCTGAATTTTAATTCAGGCTGACTGACGCCAAACTGATGTTAATTACTAACACAGATTCATGTCGATCTGCACAAATATTTATTTTTTCGCTTTACAATCATATAAAGGAAGTTATATGTACTAAACTTCTGTGTCAGTCAGTAAAATGGAACATTGAACCTGACAAATAAATGCGTCCGCTCAAGTTTCGACATTATCACAGAGAGATAAATCTATCAAGACAAACCCCGGATTATTAAAAGTGGTGGTAGTATTAGCAGTAATTGCAGAAAAGATTAGATGTAAAACAAAGTAGTACAAAGATATTCCATGATTCAGAAACTAAGTGAAGATGAAGAGTGAATACCGCTGAACTATTGTAAACGATTATGAGCCACATTATTCTACGTCTCTAACCACAAGATACGAAAATCATGTGGGCCACAATCAGGTATTTTACACCTGTTAACACACGAGTCAGTCCAATATGCAGATGACATAGTTTTATTTGGTGAAGACGCTGACAAAATGCAGAGTCTTCTGACCACTCTAAGCAACAATACAAGCATGTTCGGGATGCGATTCTCTCCCTCGAAATGCAAAATGTTGCTTCAGGATTGGGTTACATCGACACCCGAACTAGTGATAGGGAGTGAAGTAGTTGAGTGTGTCGACCGCTTAACTTATCTTGGAAGTCTCATCAGCCCTTGTGGTTTAGTGTGTGACGAAATCCCAGCACGGATACAGAAGGCTCGACTAGCTTTTGCCAACTTGCGTCATTTATGGAGTAGGCGAGATATCCGTCTATCAACCAAAGGACGTGTTTACTGCGCAACAGTTCGTTCCGTCCTACTTTATGGCAGCGAAACATGGTCGGTAAGAGTAGAGGACATCCGTAGGTTACTAGTATTTGATCATAGGTGTCTTCGAAACATTGCTCGTATATCCTGGGACCATAGACTAAGTAACACAGTTGTTAGGAAACGGGTACTAGGTAAGGATGGCAAATCAATTTATGACGTAGTGAAACTTCATCAGTTGAAATGGCTGGGACACGTTTTACGTATGTCCAACCACCGACTGCCTCGACGTGCTATGTTCAGTGGTATAGGAGTAGGTTGGAAGAAAGCTAGGGGCGGCCAGACCAAAACATGGCACAAATCCATGAAGTCACTGACAAGTGGACTGAGTCATGTTGGTAGGTGCAGACTACCTGGTTGGGGACCGCGAGATGATAGCAACCGATGGTTAGAGACCCTGAATGACATGGCTCAAAATCGTTTGCAATGGCGCAGGTGCATCCACTCTCTGTGTTCTCCCAAATTCTAATCTTCTGAATTCTTCATGTCCCTTTTTTCCTCTTTCCAAATTTATTTCACTGGATTATACTCTTTAAATAACATCTCCAAACCCTAATCTTCCCGATTACTGCTTATACTCTTATTACCTCTACCACTACGGGATTTGAATCGACAACTACATCTCTGTGCTAATGTGGTGTGGCAACTCGAACTGATGTACGTACGTACGAAGTTCTACGTTGTTACTGACTGACTGACTGACTCAAAGATTTAAAATTTCTTTCGCAGTTGCAAGAATAGCTGTTGTTATATGTAATGCTTCCACAAGACATCGAACTTCTCTATTTTTAGTAATTTCCTTTCAAATGGGCGTTAGTCCATCAACGATTAGGTAGTTTAGTTCAACTAGTTAATTCAGTCTCCATAGGTACATCACCTAAAAAAGGAATACTGAACTTCCGTAAAAGTAGAATGTGTGTGTGGATAGCGTGCATATTTCTTATCCTAGTGCTATAACCTTTTAACTTTTAAACAGTTTTATGATATTAAAAATCTATTCTAAACTAAAATTACTTAATTATTTGGCTATTCTAAACAGATGTTTCCGAACTACAACTGGCTACAATCAATGAAATAACGATAGTGATTAATTGAGAACAATTGATATGTTTTTACGCTGTTTCATTTATACACCGTCAAATATACAAAAGAATAAACTTATTGAGACCCGTGACTAAACTTTTTGTCATCAATATGCTATATATAGTTCCTGATTTGACCATTCGTTTTTTCCCAGGTATTTTTAAAGTTTCAGTTACCAGTTGAAACTCTTGGAAAAATATGGGACCTTTCAGATATTGATAATGATGGTAGTCTAGATCAGAGCGAGTTCATTGTTGTAAGTTTAAAGTGATATTCGTAACTTAGTTTTTCATGCCTATAATCGTTATACTAAATTTCAGTATAATTTTAATGCTGAGTGGTTATCTTAGGATTCTCGTCAAAATTTCACTGATTATTATTAATTAGTGCTACTACGTCTGATATTTTTTTACGGTAGAGAAGTGTGTAATAACACTTATAGGTCTTAGTTCTCATTAAATAACCCTACTGGTTGGTTACTTATTGTCATCATTTTTATCGCCCCGGTGTGTTTTACTCGTGCCATTACTTATTTCAGTGGGTTCGTCTTCCCCAGTATAAGATTGTTTGAAAGGGTCCCGGGAACCCTTAAAACAAATGGTTTCCGCTTATGAAGTCATTGTTCTTTGGTGCAAGCCTTCTCAGAAAGCTCAGACTTCCTTATGTGTTACATAATTATATACTCTGAATTGTCCTCCAATCATTTAACTAGCATTTGCTGCAAAGTTGACCAATTTGATTCGCATCAGCTGAATTAATTTTTTTCTAGTCAGACAATTGTGTATTAAATACTTCTTAGGTTGTTGAAATAACATCTAGATAAAAGTATGTGAAATAAATCATCAACCATCCAGTCATAAACAATGTAAGAACCTGATGCAAATGAATATCGGCTCAAGTTGACGCATGAGTGACCAATCTTATTGAATGTGGACGGTAATTAACTGTATCTCATTCTCTTACCTTCATCATTTATTATTTGTCAGTTTGAATCTTTAGTGATTCAGTTGTATGTCTGATATTCTACTATATTGTGTTCTAACCTTCACTTCCAGTCTGCAATTTTTATCAATACAGTCTGCGTTATTCATACCTCAATTCCAATTACTTAGTTTTAGTCACATAAGTCAATCGTTTGCAACGTAGAACCTTGTAAGTGTGTACATTGGTTCAAGTTCATATATCCTATCAGCACAGCGCGATAAAATTATCAGGCCAAATCCCGGAATAACGTAGCTAGTAACAGTATCAGTGATAATAGAAAAATTACTCATCGAAGATACGGTTCGAGAAGAAAATCTAAGTTGGTGAATTGAAAAAGATTATGAGGCATTCCGAAGCTTAGAATCTGGGAGAAGACAAAGAATTGATGCACCTGTGTCATTACAAACAATTTTGAGCCATATCATTCTAAGTCTCTAACCACTGGTTACGAAAATCACGTGGGCTTCAACCAGGTATTTTACACCTGTTAACACACGAGTCAGTCCAATTGTCAGTGACTTCATGGAGTGATGCGGTGTTTTGGTTTGACCGCCCCTCGGATTCTTCCAGCTCACTCTTACACCAAACAACATCACCCGTCGAGGTAGGCAGTAGCTAGGTATATGTACCACATGTCCCAACCACCTCAGTTGATGAGAATTCGTTACCCCACCAACCGAATCGACATCTTTAACTTGTGCTCTATGCCTAACCTAGGCATTGCTTACTTTGTGGTTCCAAAACACGAAAACTGCTTCGAAGACATCTATTATCAAGTATAAGCAATCTATAAATATCTATCCCCAATGAACATGTTTCACATCCATAAAAATAAACAGAAGATTGGTATTCAGTAAACCCGAACTTTGATTGACAGGTGGACATCTCATCTACAGTGCATCAAAAGGAGAATTTCGGATTCTATCAAATATTGACTATAATAGCAAACTTTATACCATAGATTTAATTCTGTCGAGCAATAGAAGATATTCTCGTATTCTTTTACCTGTTTATCTTTTTGAAGCCTTCATTTAAACAAGACAACTCAGAAACTAATTTGTAATAAGAGCATTCAGGAATTTTGAGTTTGTTTCGGAAGAATACCATAAGTGAGACAGATATCAAAAATCATAAGCAGTGAGTTTTCTAGACATATAAATCTTTAACACTAATATTGGTATAATCTGATGCTGACAGTTCTTCAATCAAATTCCACAACCGAATAACATCAACTAGACAGGTGTTACTAACTAGAGCATATGAAGCATCTGAAAACAACTGCTATAAATAAGTATTGGACTGAACAATAAGAAATAGGAGACAAACTTTATGATTAAATAATATCAAAAAGCTCCTTATACATCGTGGCATTACTCCTTGAGATAAAAAAAGTAAAAAAATAATAAAAAAGAACAAACCAACACAAAGAGAATCTTGTATGTTTACGTCACAATATTTTCAATAACAAGAAAACAACACCTACTTTGAAAGCTCGAATAGATTTACCAGGAGTTGGTTGAGTTTTTGGTCGAGGTGGTGGAGACTTCTTTACAGAATTCATATGATTCTTTATTTCTCTGTTATTACCCATACCTGTATTCATCATAAATGAGGTACTTGAAGGTGTAAATGGATCACTACCAAACGGATCAGTCATGTTCGATAGCTCACCGTTGGAAGGTCCAAATACCTATTTGTTATTTGTGAATTTGAAAAGTAATTACCACTAGCAATTTAACTGATAAGTTTTATGTATGATAATCTATTTATATTGCATACAGCATTTCTTTATATAAAGCATTTCAAATAAATCGAATTCGCATTTCATACTAATAAATATTATTAATAATGTTAACAGAGACAATTTTTATTTGTGAAGTAGTTTGCCTTTTCCGTTGTAGATATTCATGATTAACTGTGGTCAGTTTGTGTTAGTATATGAGCTCCAATAAGTAGACTGCTCGATGTTGATTGTATTTGATACAAATAGTAAGCAGATTAACTGCACATAAAGCCCGATTTTAACGGTTAACCTTATTAAACTGTAGGAGTAAAAATGTAGAAAGAATGTCTCCAGGATCAGAACGAATGGTTTATCTATGCTACAATTACGCATACAATTTGTGAAGATGGATCAAGCTTTGATTAATAAAATGCCAGAAAAACTATGGTAATCTTATTCCTATGAAATTATTAAAATACCTAGTGGGAAATCAATAAAAACTAATAGTATCAAAAAACAACATTTACAATGTGTTACTTAGAGTTTAACCTACAGCATCGAAATCAGCTCCAATCAATGAATTTTCTGGAAGTACAGTAGGACACACGCTGTCCGGTTTAAAAGGATCAAATGCTGAGGCTATAAATAAAAATATGGGAAAAAGTGCTAACCCACTATTAAATGATAATTATCCTTAGAAAAGACACTAGAATGCATGTATATTCAAAGTGATTTTGATTCCAAGATGAAAACCATTTTCAAACTGAACTACTCGTTACAATTCGCTCAACAACTAAACAAAGATAACATTCTTTTTCGAAAACTTGCATTATTAAATACGATATTTAGAGAATTATTAAAATGAGATGAAACAATTCAATATCTACAAACTGACATCATACCATAAATAAATCTCAAACAATTTGAAAATCATAGAATTCATTTCGAAAGGTATCAATATTGCTAGAATTCGGTAGTTACACTTTATTAGGAAAGAAACAGTTCATCGCATTCTCCAAATGATCCCAATAAAAAAGAGTTCAGTTTATTATGTTTTATATTATTAATAGTATCGTTACAATTTTAATTATTATTAGCTTAATATAAATCAGTGACCATTTACAAGAGATAAAAGAACTCGAAAAGAAGTCAAACTACCCGAAAATTTATTCATAAAGTGCACACTTCTGAAAAAATAACATTTGCTATAAGAAAATCAAATACATATCTCACCTTACCATTAGACCATACATGGTATGCACTCTGTAGTATTAAATGTATAACATAGTAAACAGAAAGTATATAGAAATGATTCAGTCTGATTTATTGGAAATAATGAATTAGGTAGAATTAGTGAGTCATTCATATATAATGTAGAAACTGGCACAAATTTCCATCAATTGAAGTTGCTAAACCGCATAAGTACAGAGAGTGCTATAAGTGGAAATAGTATTATTGATGGTAAAAAAAATTACGACCACAAAATGGCCATGATGGAAAAAAAGATTTGTGGAGTAGGTTAAAAAACTTGTCAAAATCAAAAAGAAACTTAGAATCCAAGGGAGGAGAAAGATTAAATGCAACTGCACCATTGCTAAAGATTCTGAAACATTTTATTTAGTCTCAATTCATTGGTTATGCAAATAATGCAGACCCAAAACAGGTAGTATAGACTTGCCTACACCGCCCCGTCTAATAATCAACAACTTCATGGACTGATGCAATGTTTTGGTTTGACCATTCCTAGCTTTCCTCAGAACTATATTTACACCAGCCATTACCATGCATCAATGTATGTGATGATAATATGCTTTTATTAAATGCTTCTAGTACAGTAAGTATACAAAATTTAAAACGGTGATGAGAAGTTTGTCAGACTAAACTTGTTGAAAAGTAACCTAGTGTACAAATAACTGTAAAGAAACATTCTATCAAAACCTTTGGGGAAAGTAACCAATAGAATCTTATACAATCAAGGATGGATAGTGGCTAGCAGTGGAATTCAGGACGCGCGTTGTGTCCCATTTGGGACTCTTCAGCTAGATGTACCTGCATCTCAGCAAGTGGCTATCAGGACTCAGTAGCTAAGTGGATAACGTGATGGCATTTGAAGAGAATGGTATTGAGTTCGAGTCAACTCTGAGATGCAGGTACATCTAGCTGACGAGTCCCGGATAGGACGAAACGCGCGTCCTGGATTCCACTGTTAGCCACTATCCATCGTTGTGTATAAAAGCTTGTGAATTAAGGCAATATCGAGGCATACACACAGTATGCACATATGCCAATAGCAGACTGATTAATCGCAGTCTTAAACCTCAATGGGAAGATACAAGCAAAACAATACCAAGTCAATAGAATCTTATTTCAAATGCAACCATAATAAGAGATGTATTATTTGTTATATCCCAAGTCCAACCTTGGCATTCATACCTACATAATAATAATAACGGATATAGCTTACCAATAGTATTTGGAGACTTTTTATCCTTAGCCATCTAGATATAGAAAAAAAGAATAGGGAGACAAAGTAAATAATGTACTACGGTTTTATTAAGCACCTGCATCATATATATATATATATATATATATATATATATATGTAACCAATGCTGTGTCTTATTCCCAGGAAATGTAAGTTATTTCTTGATCAATCGCTTGTACTTATCATTTGATAGATTCCTGATTGGCCTAATGCATCGCCTTCACATTCATTCTGTCTGTACCAAAGATCAATTTTTGTCATATTAAAATTCTTCTTGATTCATCTGCTGAGGTTTATCGAGCTTTCGTACTCCAAAAAACAATAAACGATTCATAGTGATTTTGTCACACAATTATGAATTAATCATACCAACATGTTGTGTTTTTTTTCACTTACATTTGCTCCGTAAATTTTATACGTCTATTCACTAGGTCATGATGTAACATACTTATTGACCATCCATATAGACAATCCGTACATTTATTTCCTTAAAGGACGTATGGTATTATAGTCTCATAAACTTATTCCTCACGTACTATTGTACCATCAATGAAATAGTACATTTTCCTATCTGCTTATTCAATGTTCTTCGTATATCTTTCAGGTAAATTTATCTTTCAATACAGTCACTTTTTTGAATTAAATTCTTCATACTGAAGGCAAGGAGTTCTGGGGATATTTTGGTACAAGCCAAGGGAATCTAATCTCTTTGAGATATGACGTACACATAAAGTCGTTAACTTGATTACTTTTAATGAGGGTGTGTGAGCATAAATGTTCATCACTTTCTTTATTCACCACATCTCTGTAGTTTTCTTTTTTTGTCTGATTATAATAAATGTTGGATCGCGTTTAATAAAATTTAGTTAAATTTGCCAATAAAGTTCACATGCATTTCTTTCGTCTCCTATCGTTTATCTACATTATCGAATGTTAAACATTTACGTTTATCAATTACTTTTGTATTTAAATTTTATATCAGCATTGTTATTAATGATGCTTGTCAACAGTGTACATAAGAAGTCGAATAGGACATATAATTTATTAACATCATTACCATTATACCTCGTTTTTATCATAAAGTAATCCGAAGGGGCAATAAAAACTAACCATAGTAAAAATACAATAATTTCAGGTTCAAGTATCAAATCCAAAGAAATTCCAATCTGTCTCCCAGAAATAAATAATTGTAACGGAATTCGATAATCTAAGGATGTTTGATGTATTTAGTGTTTAATCAGAGGCTAATATATTTAAATTGATAACAAAAAATCGTTTTACTCGGCTATAAAAACCAGGTAAAAGCAGTATTTAAAGACAAGTTTTAACTAATACAAGTGACAACATATGGATGGATCGACAATGCGAAGAAGGTATTGATGGTTGCCATGTAAATATTCAATGCTAAATTAATTTGCCTTGAACATATACTGAAGATAATACAAATATAGGTTCGCCGACAAAACTTACATAGCGATTGGGTTTAGTTACTATCCTTTAACTTCTAGTTGTACGGTATGGGCTTGAAGAGGTATGCCATTAGACCTCGGTGGTTCAGAAGGAAGGACATGTTTATCTATCTTAATGCTACTTTTTCTGTTCGTTGGCCATAAAAAAATATGGTTTGCATAGGTCAATGAAAGCAGTTCCCTTAGTGCCTTTTTTTCCGATTATGGGATATTTTTTGTTACGTACAAACCGTTGGTGATTTCAGTGAGTAGATAATTGCACTGAGATGTTTAATGAATTGCTTGTGACGAGTGTATGCATGGGTAAAATGGATAGAGTTCCCGAATATCTTATAACAAGGTGATTGAGAAACGTGATCAATCGGTTTTTGTCCTCTTTACTGATTAACTAAAAGGATGAAACTAATGTTGTGTCGAATATTAGTTTGTCTGTCGTATAGCTTGTCTTCTTTAATTGTACATCGGAGTTCAAGGAGAGCTAATGGTGAGGGATCACTCCATTTTGTCGTATCACGTTGTGACATTAGCGAGCTTTTTAATTGGAGGTGGAATATTCCCACTGAACTATTCTATACTCGGTAGACCATGGTAGTAAATTAATGGACTCCTAGGGGAAGGGTGACCTCATGAAACAATATCGATTGGAACTTGGATCCGCAATCCGTAGTGATAGTGTAATTAACACCAAAGTTGAAAATTTATTCATCCAAGAACACAGAAGCAACAGTTTCGGCAAAGGTATCATTATAAGGACATACAATCCCACATCTGGTGAGACAGTCGACGTCTATACACGTATATGTGGGAGATTTGGATAGTTGATATGTGATTTGCTGAAGACGTTTAAAACTTATCTGGTTAGACAATTGTGTGTCAGTAAATCTTACTTTGCTGGTAGTACAAGTAACTTCAAACACCTAATCTCAACATTCATTATTTCCAAACGGAACGATCTGTTACAAAATTCACCGAGACCCGAATGCTAGGGGAGTGATGGAGAATGGAGACGCTGCACATTTTCTCCGTTACTATGACACAAATAAGCGGTACTGGGTGGAACGCAAAGATAGAATCCCAAAATGGAGTAGGATTGGTCCTAAGGATTAAATTAGACTATTCAATACAGACTCTCAAATTTGGATTATCTAGCTGGAGCTTAGCCATGTCACTTTGTTGAATAACTATGTTGACTTCGCTTATAGATAAAGCATATATTATTACGTTCGACAGATGTGATATCAGTGGTGAACTGATATGTCAAATCTAGCCACCTGATTACGCGATTTACGTGCTTATCAGATGAGGTAATAAATGAATACCACACACATTTGGGGTCTGCTAGAATCGTGAAATCGTGACCTTGAGACAAAATGGCCAAAATTTTTAACTGATAAATAAACGGTCGATAGATCATGACTAAAGGCCTGAAGATGTGTTTGAGCAGAATTTAGGCATTTCTAAAAGTATCAAACATGTGATTTCATCGTTTAGTTGTTAATGCGTCAATTTATAAGACCAACTGAGTTGTAGAGTGAGTTTTAGGTGTTTCAACATAGGAGCACTCGATAATGTTGTTTTCGCGTCCCAAAAGGTAGTCTTCACTTATTGAGAGAAATTGAAATCCTCTTTATTCCCTCTGAGCAGTTTGGACAGAGGTTTTAGGATGGCTCTACATTCAAGTATCGAGTACCGATAGAAATCCAACATAGCCACAAAATCCCATAACTTCTTACTAGAATCTTGTTAGAAGTAGCTTAATATAGGGGCAACCTTTTCACGTAAAGATTCGGTTTCGTGTGAGTCAATGTGATGTCCTAGAAAATCTAAGGTAGGAACACAAAAAATTTGTTTAGTGGAGTTGATGACTATTACGTAAAGTTGAAAAAATTCAAATAAAGTCAGGAGGTACTTGAAATATTTGTTCGGTAAGGAACTGGTGATTAAAATATCGTCAATTTAATTTTAAAAAAAACAGAACCAAGTCCTCTGGTGGCCTTATTCACAAAACTCTGAAAGGTTTGAGCCGCATTCTAAAGTCCAAACGGAAATCTCAGCAATTCAAGCAGATCAAAAGGTGATATGATTAGTTTTTTTTTTCAATATCCACCAGTCTCATCGGGATTTAATAGCAGGTTCATATTAAGTCAATTTTTGATCATCTCAGTTTATATGAAAGGAAAGGAATCTTTTGGTAATCAATACAGGAATTATCTCAACTAATATGCTTTCCAAAATTTTAGTATCAATAATTATTCAATGTTTATCTAAAACTCAGTTTGCTTTCAGACTAAATCGTAGACGATTTGGATCCGCTTCAAGTTATGTTGATGTAGATATTTTTAAATCATACTATTAGACGTATAACTTAAAACTGTAACTGAAAATCTAAATCTCACTAATCAACTATAAAACTTGTTTTTTCTGTTTCACTATCTGAAAATATTTTTGAAAACCAAAAAAAGCTATCGTGATCAGTGTATATCACATGAAAAGTAACAATCCAACCAACGATAATCACAAAAAGGAAGTTATAGCAGTAATTCTTTCTACATAAAAAAGTGTAGGCATTTATATGATATAAACAATTAGAATGAAAATTCAGAAAAACAAAGATATAGTGTGTATGCACACGGTCACAAACACACAAAGATGGTGTAATGCATAAGATTCGGCAACACTGAACAAGACATTAACACAAGACAAAAGAAATATTTTATAAACTAACAGAAAATTTCAGTTGTGTTACTATGATAAGATTCAATCTAGTATAAATGTGTGTATATATTTACACCTATTAGATATTTATAATCAGAAATTCATAGACATGAATTGAAAACAAAAGGTGACGATGATGTATCAACACCATATCGCACGATTTACTTCATTTGATTGACAAATATAACCGGTAGAGAACAGAATGCTTAATCACACGATAATTTTTCTCTGTAGAAAAATAATATCTTTGTTTGTGGACATCATTATAATAGGTTATTATTACTACTACTTATTAATTAACAAATTCATTTACAATAAAACTGAACAGCATAAAACGTTGCCTAAGTAGTCTAGAACAATGTTATTAGTCGGTAATATTACTTAACATGTTTTTACAATAGGTTGATCACTGAGTAGTGACCAATGTCATATATGTCAAGTCTTTCTTAATGCAGATCGAATTCTATTAAACACTAGTCTAATTGAATAGTAATCGACAGGAAACCCTGGACCTAAATTTCATGCTATGTAGTACGTGTCAGCAAGATATACTTTCAATCTACCTAGTGATCAATCAGCTGTAAATACATCTCATTCTTACAGGAGGTCAGTAGCTACCCGGCGAGCTCAGTTGTAACATCTCTGACTTTGAAGCTGAGTAACATAGCATAGAATCCGTCAGCGAGTTTCCGTCCCTTCAAGATTACAGGTAAACCTTGCTGACGAGTGTAGAGTAGCACAAAACCTAGGTCCAGGGTTTCCTGTCGACTACCTCCAACCATCACCTTACTACTAATATTCATCATTCATATATCTATATTTTTTAAATTCTGAACAGTCACTGTAAGTGCATTGAAGTAGTTATTCCAGATAATGTTTCAAGATAAATATATGGAAGTTGTTATTTTTTAATACAGTCACATGAAAACACATTGTTATTGCGAGTGGAACATTTGTAAAGAGAGAAGCAATATTCAATGATATCACTTTTTGACTTTTATTAATCACTGGACAAAGATGAATGAAACCAGTACCTTGTATCTATTGACGTGACTTCTGACTGGCTGTATATCTTCAGTTAGCCAATTAACATTCAGATAGTGAGAAAAGTTGATAACACCGAGTATGAGAAGCAGAAAGACATTATTGTATACTTTTAAGAGCCTGTATGGTCTTGGGATAACGGAACCCGATGGTTAAGGACGTCCTTAAAGATCACTATTGATAATAAACTTATCTTTCATCTTCCTCAAGATTTTCGCCAACATCTATGCAGCCTTCTCGGTTACATCCTTCAGAAAGGATTTTTAAGTAAGTTCAACTTCATCTGATATTATGAAAGATAATTTGATAATATAGTCATAAAACCATTCTTATTTGGAAAATTCAGCACTTAATCATAATTTATCAGATCAAATAATTTAAATTTATGAATACAACACACTGGATTCATTCGATTTTGTCTATTCGTTTAAGGATGTCAATGTAATTTGCAAAAAAGTGATATCATGTAATGTCGCGTCTCTCTTTACAAATGTCTCACAGAAACAATGTTTTCTAATTACATTGAGAACAACTTCGATATTTGTATCCCGAAACATAACATTTTGTATATGTAAAAGACGTCGAAAAAATTGCCAAACGAAGTACTGAGCGAGATTTGAAATGATGATTTTCAATATTTCGGTTCATATAACCAACTTAGTTTACTTTTTTTAAAAAGAGTCAAAGTTATTAAACAAAACAAGTAAGATTTGCATAAAATGATCGTATATGATTTTTAAAAAAAACATTAGATTTTAGTTGCATAGCTGAGTAGCTATCTAGACTCAGCAGATAAATAGATAACGTGTTAGGTGTTTGAAGCTAAAAGAGCTAAGTCCGAGTCCGGAAGTAGAGAATAACTCTTGGATCCAGGGACATCCAGCTAAAATGTACGAAATATGACGAAAGGAACATTATCGATTCCACTGTTAGCCACATCCCATCTATTATAGAAAAACTCGTGACAATGACTATATAGAGGTAATTTGCATAGGATGCACATACGTTAACTTAGATTGATCAAAATCCAGTCAAAAATATCAACAAAGGTATCATCCCAAAACCATTACAAATTGCATTACTGTATTATTGTGTGTGTACTACACGACTTTCTTTGAGAAAAGGATCCAAAGATATAGCTACGTTGTGAACTTGACCGACAGAATCCCGACTATTAGTAATGAGTAGACAGTGATGAATCCATGGAAATCTGATCTATCCATATAGCCGAAAGTGCCAGCCCGAATAAACAAGTGACAACATCGTTCACTGTGACAGAGCAGAACAAAAGTTTAAGTATATGAGATGATATAAGTTTGTTTAAGGTTACTGATATCGTCAGTGGAAAGAGCACACAAACTAGAAGCCCGTATATTCAGTTTTTATCAACCTATCTTAAATTATTTTAAGACTAATTCAATGCAAACTAATACGGTGTTAACTGACCAATTTAACATATAATGAAACACATAATAGATTTTGTGTAGTACTTAAAACTAGCAGGAAATATACCGGCAAGCCTGCAATCATCATACATTCAATAAAAGTAAAAAACTTACAAGTACAACATTCAAAGATACATTTTACACTCGAATAAACATTAAAACTACTGAGATAATATAACTAAAGTCGAACACTGAACTGACAACCTAAAGTTAACACATACAACACGGGAATTAAAAATGATAGAAATAATCAAAGATGTTCTCATTATTCAGAATTTTGACGTTATGGAAAAGAAAAAAACGATTGTTCCGACTTGTTTGATTTCCATAAGATTTTATCCCGAAAGATATCCATTCGTTAAACTATTTCTTTACGTAAAGAAAATTGATAATGTTAAGTTAAACATATACAATATATACTGTACAGGGATGATAATTTATAAAATAAATGTGTACAAATATAAACCCATGTATTCGTTATCATCTTCAATATGTAAACGGATAATTACATGATTATCAGTTTGTATGGGAAAAGTAAAAGCACTGTTACAAAGAAAAAAAATGTTGATAAAATTACACTGACCGAAATAGTATTTGAAAATTCACTTACTAAATATGATAAACCAAATGGATCTAAACCGAATGGATCGGAATCCTTGAATGGATCATTTGTACTTGACAAAGCAAATGGATCCTCAACAGATTCTGTTATCATATAAAATAGATGAAATAAAAATAAGAAAAATTATGTTCCCAAAAGGAATCAATTTTGCTAGATATTTAAACAAATTTATATAAATTCATTGTTGTATTGATTGTTTAAACCTTCCCATTGATGTTTAGGACTGCAATTGATCAGTCTTTGATTGGCATATAAGCATACTGTGCGCATTGTCGTGATATTGCCTTCAGTCACAAGCATTACAAGCAAAGATGGATAGTAGCTAGCAGTGGAGGTCGAGATGCGCGTTTTGTCCTATTTGGGACTCGTCGGGTGGATGTACATGCATCCCTGAGTTGGTATTCACTTCGGGGCTCGAACACAGTACCGTTCGCTTCAAACGCAAACGAGTTATCCACTTAACTACTGTTTATAAAGTAAACAGCAGCAAAGCACAGAATATCACAGAATTAACGATACACTTAATGCAAAGTTAAATTTCTATTTCTTAATATTTTCTTTTCTTTTAATTTTTCATAAAATTGCTTATTACTAAGATAATGTGGGAAATTTGTGACTTAAAAGGAGGATTTTGATAATGTTGCGATTTCTACAACTGCGTGCATTAATATTTATGCTTCTTTCTTCTTCTTTTGAAACAACACTAACAGTAGCAATAATTTTCCCGAACGAATCAGAAATTTTCTATAAGTGGTAGACAATTTGGTTTGCAAGAGAAAAATGCATTCGAGATAAATGTTGAAACAGTTATAAAAGTTAATATTAATATCTAGTAACATTCAGTCGTAATCTCGAGTGATATTAGAAGTATGAGGGCAAATGAGTAGTTTTAGACGAATTATCTCTGTACTTCTAAAGCTTCACCGCCTTAGATGGAAATTTGTGGGATAAAGTGAGATGTGGTATATTTATGGCCAATTTTTTCTAACCCCTTACATTCGTTGTGGGAAGTTGATGACAAGTGAAGACAAGCATAAGTTAATAGATGACTTTTTCAGTTCACAACTGATGTCAATGTTAATAAATAATTTGAAAAGGTTTATTATTCAATAAGCAATAAATGATAATAATTTTTCTCGAGATAAAATTCAAACCGCTGGATCGCTTTAGGTAAGCAAAACCTCAGAGTTATTATCAACACAAAATAAACGAAATCTTGATCGGATGTCATACATTTTCATCATTATCATTTTTGTTACCTATCTATAGATTACTGCCGACGAGTGGATCACGTCTAACAGAATTTCATTTTCTAATTAAGATTGATTAAAATTCCTACATCTAATGGAAGTGAGTCAGTGAGAAACTGTGTTCAAAAATAGTGCGATCGTAATAGACTAATACGGCAGAGTAGTTCGCCAAGTGATAACTCATGAAAACAAAACACTGATATCAAGATATTGTGAGATTTATAACCGATAGGAACTTTTCACTACAAAGAAAAAAAGTAATAACAATCACCAAATACAGATTGATGCATTTGGCTTTGTGGTCTAATGATACTACACGGTTTCCTAAACCCATGTGGATCGAGCAGTGCTTGAATCTGCAACTGAGCGACTGAAAGTTGAACGTCTTAATCACTAAGACAGTCTTGCTAGTATTATAACGAAATAAAATATTGAATTAAATAGTTCATTAAAGAAACAAGTAAATTCTCAGGTTGTTTAGTAGAAAATACGACCAGTTCAACAATGCAACTAACATGCACGAATGAACACATACATACTCACACCTGTATGTATAACGAGTTATCAAATATCTTAATAATTTAGCTGATAAGAGATAATTGTAAAACATTAGTAAATTAACATAAATTATAGTTTGTTTACATTGGAATTTCTAATTGACTCAATCGGTTGGATAGAAAAAATTATCACATAAGCCATGGCCACTCTGACATTCATAGACAATAGTTACACACACATATAGAGGTAGTACAAATGCATAAATGATATATATATATATATATATATATATATATATATATATATATAAAACCTTGGCTTCCAATTAGCTTTTATTTCACCACCAATCTGAAAATAAGTGATATTGAATTGTAACAATAAAATCAATGACTGGAACAAATATATACTGGGAGACATAACAAGCATCCAAAATTTAGTCAAGATCTATGTTTTAGTTCTAACGATGAGTAAACATCAGTGTTGAACAAATTGTAATTAGTGGATTCACTTTTTAAACTTTTGAATTAGACAGTGAATAATTTACAGCTACTTGTCCAGTGTTACGTACAAAATTATACATTTAGGTAAACAGTGACTATGTGTAACTGTACGTGAAAAATTATGAAAGGAGCAGAAATAAAAATCTCCCTCGAAGTATGATGCCGAATAAAACACATCGTCCACAATGTGCTCCATTCATTCATTATTTACATTCATTAGCCATGACTACATACATTAAAACCCGGTTTAATACATTACTATCATCTGTACCTGGAATTTAAGACAATGAAAACACTATCGGTTGCTCTTTTAGTGATCGATTGGTATATATAACTCACCTTTATGAAACTCATTGGTTTTAGAAGATTTGAAAGGATCATTACTATCAAAAGGATCGTAAGGAAATGGAAATCCAAGTGAAGAATTTAGAAGACCTCTTTCATTCGTCTTCCAATCACCACCCGATACAGTATTCATTGACATTAATGGAAGTGGTACAGAGTGAGCACCAGTTTGGCTTCGTGCCATATCAAATGCTGAGAAAGTTGATATACCAGTAGTAAAAGAAGGCGCATTATTATTTGGCCAATTTATACCATCAAGACCTGTATCGAAACTTCTTAAACTATCTTTTGCACTCTCATCAGAAAGCTAAAAAGAATGAAAGCCCAAATGTAATTTGCATATAGTTAGCCAGTCAGTGTAGAACATGACACTAATATATATCAACCTAGGTTGTCATTATCATATTATAATGATGAGATAAACTTAACAAGGTGCATAGCATAGTAGTCGTAGTAATAACAATATTGTTAATAGTACGATAGAATAAGCATAAGGAATATAGTTCAAAAATGAGTAAATATGACAAATAAAAGCACCAGATAAGTTTAAAACCAAAATTCAAAAGGAAGATAAAGAATAAACAAATTTCAGAAATGTACTGATCGATTTCGAACAATGTCACTCACTAACACAGATCTCCATACATCATTGAGTTGGTTAGATCCGACAGTCTGGATTTACTCAATGAGATTCAGATTAATAATCGATAACCTTAAAGTGATACACAATCAATTTAAATACAAGTAGAGGATTTTTGTTGTAAAAACCAAAAGAGTTTGTGCAAAATATAAATATATGTTTTGAATCCCACTAGTTTAAAGAACCGATACGTTGGAAATGATTTAATAATAAACAGTTCCAAAATGATTTAAATAACGAAATGACTTTAAGAGAGCGAATTCAATTCAGTATAATTACAACTCATTGCTGATGATAGTCATACTAATGCCTAAAAAGTATACTCAACAAGATAACCTTGAATACTTCGGATTCAAAAATCAAAAGAACCATACAAAGATAAAGCATTTTGAAACAGTAGTTTAAATATTCTATAAAATGTAAGTTAACGGTGAACAGATAAGTAAAGACGATGTGAGCAATGAGAACGGGTAAACAATCGTTCAATTAGGCGAAAACACAGATATATATGAACGAAGAATTTTTTCAATAAATTCTTATCACGTTTTACAACTATATATCTAAATTAATAATCTAAACAGTGTCGAGTTTTAAGGTGAAATAAATCGTAGCATGTAAACTTAGTTTTTGGATTAATAATTTGGATATATAACTGTAAAACCTGAACAGAATTTATTACAAAGAATATTCTTCGTACATATATCTGTGCTTCAATATGATGGGAATTTTTCAACAATTACGCAAACTTAGATTAACTAAAAGCGTAGAATATTAATTTATGCTAGAATTATGAATTTATTAAACGAAAACACAAAATAATCAAAATCATTAATTAATTGGTCAACTAACCAGAGACTTAACCCTTGCCTCATCTGGTTCTTTGATATTTTCATCACCATTTAATAAACCGTTATATTGTTCAAGCACTTCTAACAATTGACCACGAGTAGATTCTAATGTTTCAAGTTTAATGTTAGTCTAAGAATTAGAAAACAAAAACTATCGCTAACAATAAGTCAGTAAAATTTAAACGAAAAAATCAAGCAAGTATACTATACTGATAAACAAGTTTAATGTAAGACTGACATCTAGTAGCAGCATCATGCTGGTAATCATGAGGTTTAGTAATGTGTGCTTAACAGGTTTAATAGTATTAAGACGCCAGCTCTTGTGACTTGGACAAACCACTAACTTCTACTTGCTAACACTTATAGAATTGATAAAAGCAAAGAGATGGTTAGTTTGCAACAAATGTCAATCAAACACAGTAGACAATATACACAGTTTTTTCATTACCTAACTGAAACACACAAAAAATCAGATGCAACAATGTGACTTACTTGATCTACGCGAGACTGGGCTAAACGGTTTTCCTTTTCAATTTGTTCTAAACGGCGTTGGTTTTCAATTATTTTATCTTGTAACATCGCTTCCTCTCGTATTAATTCATTCAACTCATTACGTAAACAAGCTATTTCTTCTTTTTGACTCTAAAATTGTAATCGATGATTGAAAATAATACTAAATAATATACTAGGACACAGAATATTCAAGTATCAAGACGCATTCGACCGTCACCAGTGGAAATACTAAGTCAGTTGTGCCGAAGTCCGATTGAATGTGTTCTTACATAGTGCATATTACATCTAAATACATGTTGCTACCTTAAAACATTTGGTTTATGTAACAGAAGTTGATCAATATGACTACAAATCATTTTCCCTAGTAAAACTTTATACGAGTGTACATAAGTTACCAACTGTCTCCGCTTTCTTTCGATGTTATTGATGCTAACTGCCCATAGAGAATTGATGAAATATCATTTATCGACAACAACTTTCCGAATGTTTCCAGATCTCCCGACTCACTTATAAGCTTTTCAATCAACTATATCCACGGACATCCACGACAGAAGATATTTACTGACTATAAAGATAAGCAGAAAATTTTCGGCTTTTCGATTTCTTTACAATACCTTTTATGTAGACTATATATATATAACCGATTGGTCACACAAAATACTGCTAATAAATCCTACTTTCAACTTGCTCCCTTCCTCATATTTTCTTGTTTCGCTTAACTGTTTCATTGATTTCTACAATACTTCTAGCATCGCCTATGAATAACAGTGAACCAATCATAATTTCAAAGCATGCATTACTAAAGCAATAGAATACGTACGCAGTAGTCATATCCAAAAGTGCTACTCGACTTGCTACAAGGGCACCGTTGAGCCGATGTCTTAAGAAACAATCTCACAGAGTAATCTCCGAACAACTGGATAACAAGTCTACTTTGATTAATTTCCGTAACAAATACGGATGAAATCAAATTAGGAATCAATTACACACCTCTTTAGATTCATTTAGTGTCATCACTTGCTCACGAATCCATGATGTCTTTTTTAAAAGCAGCTAATCGTATTGTATTGACTGGCATTAAAACAACTCATCAGACGGTCGATGATGAGTAGCACTTTTTGGGTTGAATGGTGTTATTTAGAAATCTCGTTCGCAAGTAGTATAGAACATAACTTCGAAAACAAACTGATTATTCATGAAAGAAGTACATACCGTTTTCAATATTATCTATTAGTAGTATAAATCACTCATTTACAACATACTGTGCTGTGCCATAAGCGAGAACACGACAGTGCGATAAAAGAATGGGAGCTTTTAAATAGAACAACCATACAGTATAGATATTCATCAGAATTTATAAACTAGTTGAAAGTTTATAAAAATAATGCACGGAATTTAGGGGTGATAAGACAACATAAAAGGTTCTAAAACATCACAAATTAAAAAACATACTTTCGTTGAGGCTTGTTGACAATTGATTTTAATACGCATTTCTTCAACTTTTTGACGTTCATTCACGACATGACTTTTGATTTCATTAAGCACATTTTCTAACGTATCTTTTTCACGACTATAATCGCCTAGTCGACGTTCGGCTTCCACACGTTGATTAGCTAGATTACGAATTGTATGATTAAGGGTATCAATTGTACGCTGTTTTGCAGTGGCTTCTGATGCTCGACGTTGAGAATCTTTGGCCATAGAAACATAATCAGATTCTACTGCAGATTTTTCACTGAAATTTTTTATAAAAAAAAGAAAACAAAATGTCAATAAAGTGTTTATTAACCAACTGCAATATGAAAATGTGTAAATACAAGATTACTTAGTGCACATAAACCTCAGACATACATACTTTTAATAACCTTTAAGAAAAAGAAACAGAAAATAAGAAACCTAATTTTTAATGTGACTACACAAATATAGTCAAGTTTGGGCAAAGAATGTGATGTCCATGACTTTTTCAAATGTCAATTTATTGCCCCGTAAAGTAAAATATAGTTATCAATGATCCAGTTCTCAATAAGTCCTCATAATGTCAAGTAACTAAAATAATTTCTATTGCATAAATGTTAAATGGCTCAGTTCAGTTACAAAAACAGAAGTCAATTGAATCCCCCATAGATGAATCATCTGTCGATCAAATAGCTGCATCAACACTATTAGTGTTTATTATTATTATTATTACTAGTAGTAGTAGTAGTAGTAGTAGTAGTAGTAGTAGTAGTAGTAGTAGTAGTAGTAGTCGTAGTCGTAGTCGTAGTCCTAGACGTAGTCCTAGTCGTAGTCCTAGTCGTAGTCGTAGTCGTAGTCGTAGTCCTAGTCCTAGTCCTAGTCCTAGTCGTAGTCCTAGTCGTAGTCGTAGTCGTAGTCGTAGTAGTAGTAGTAGTAGTAGTAGTAGTGTAGACTCAAGCTATGAGCTGTAAGCCCCAAAAAAGTAGCATAGCTCCACACATCTTGATTATCCAACCTTCATATTATACATCATGTGACGAAGCTAACAATAATTCGTGATAAGACAACTTAATTATGGTGACAACAACTTTCCTCTAACACAGTTCACATATTGCATCACTTCACTGACAATCGAAAAGGTTTTCGAATTTCAGTAATGCTTTAGGGTAAATACTTAGTTTTCGTGTATGTGACAAGCGAAAAGTTTTTTCGAGGACTTCATATGAGTATGAAACAATGTACTTACCTGTTAATTTTTATTTCACTAAATACAAAATTCCGCTAATCCACCCAGTAACCGCCAAAAAGGAAACCCTTTATTCAAACTACAACTAAAAACGCTCTTTTTTATTTGCCCGTTTTTAGTTCGCGAAATATTCACCTTATTTTCAAGCGTTTTATATTCATATGTTTTAAATTTGTATGCATATATTATTTGCCCAGATCTGTCAACCCTGACTTCTGTCAATAAACTGATAGTCTGTTGCAATATTCCGTGTTAGGAGAGAAAGAAGAAATGGATTATAAAGGTATTCTAGTTCGAGCTATATGTTACCGCCGCCTACTTTATTACACATCAGGTTTGTTGAAATTAAGGCATTTTACTTTAAATGAAATCACTTGATCAATAGGTCTACAGATAGAATCCCCATAATACAGATGATAATAACTACTTAGTAGCTTACACAAATAACAATCAAATTATTTAAAAAATATTCATTAAAACCCACCAGGATAATTCTAGTAAGTGCACTCAGTTTGATGGTCAACACAAACTGAATACTAGTATAGGGGTTGTGGAGATTATTAAGTTTTTGATTGAGATCATGAACCGATTGATGTTAGACCATCGCAATTGAAAACCTGGAAGCACTGGACGGCCGTTTCGTCCTATTGTGGGACTCCTCAGCAGTGCGCATCCACGACCCCGCGAGCGAGATTCGAACCCAGGGCCTTCGGTCTTGCGCGCGAACGCTTAACCAACTAGACCACTGAGCCGGCATCGAATGGTGATAGATTCTAACATCAACCAATCCACAATAGGACGAGACGGCCGTCCAGTGCTTCCAGGTTTTCAATTGTGATGGTCTAACATCAATCGGTTCATGATCTCAATCAAAAACAAACTGAATACTTTATCAATAACAAATACAAAACGATAATTGAGCAAGAAAAACCTATGCTACAAAAATTGAACGCAATAATAATAACATACCGGCTTAATGCTTCTATTTCTACAATTAATTTGTTAGATTCTTCATAAATAGACGGATCTGGAGGAATAGGGCGCAAACTTGGTGGATGTAAAGCGGGTGGAAGTACATTAGGAAGGGTACGATTAGATAAGCCCGCAGATAACTGTTCCGTTGCCAAATGCATAGCCACTGTAAACTGTTCACTGTAAATACAAATAAAATTCTTACAAGATAACATACAGCTCAAATTCTACTTTAAAATAAAATGGACAAAATGACTAAGAATTTACAATTAATGGTGCGATAAAGTGTTCGATATTCCAAACATGGATAATAAAGCCTGGTAAGATAGTGAAAACATCGTTATTACACCTAAAAAGCTACAGATCATACGATAAAAATAAAGATATAATATACATGCAGTAATATATAGCTAAAGACATAATTTGACGGATACATGCATGATACATGTATGTAAATTACGTGGTGCAAGTTTATGTTTTCGGGTTTGAACCACTGTTTTTATGAGGATTAGTGATACAATCCAGTCGCCTGAACAGATTTACAACCTAGTAATTGGGAATCGATTGCTTTCGACCATTAAATAAGAGTTCTTGTGTATGCATATATATGTATGTAAGTGTACATTTCAAAAGTTATCTAATACTGGATTTAAAAAAGGGACACTGTCATATAATTAACAGAGAAATATTCAGACAGTTAGATATGTAGCGGAGTATACCAATAGAAACTAATCATAGAAGTAAGGTGAAATACAGCATCATAACGAACTGTAATGGCAACCGGAAAATTATAATATTTACTTATCAGTGAAGACAAATAAAGTATCGCAGATAATGTAGAAATGTTAATTGAATTGAAAGACATTTACCTGTTTAACAAACCAGTATTTTGTATATCAACCAGCTCCCATATATGAGCAAGAACATCTTGAGGTAAACCGGATCGCATCAGAATATCTCTCACTTCAGGGCCTGAAACTAACCCATCAGCATCCATATCTAGGGCAGCAAAAACTCTCAGATTTTTTGCATGTTCGTCTGCTGAAATAGCCCATTCTGGAAAATTATACGACTGAAGATAAGGTTGATGACTAGACAGAGCCCAAACAGTGGGAGTTGTATGAGTTGACTGTGTAGTTAATGTTTCACTGGTTGGAAAAGCCTAATTGATTCAAATGTTTGCAGTAAAAAACAGTAATATTATCTAAATTAAGTTGTATACTTTTTCTGAAGGTCAACCATATGTTCATTCGCTAGTAATGTAAGAAAAATATTTTATCATTATTGATTTCAGCCCGAGCTTTATGAATTACTTATGAGAGTAGCAACACACCTAACGAGTAGGTACCTTTTGAAACAGTTAGTCATAACAAAACGAGTTGAAATTTAGGTATAATTACGTTACAATGAGAATAAAGTTTCTCTGAATAAATAAATCGGTGGGGGGAGCAAATGTGTACTTGATGAAATCATCACGATTAAGACGACCACTGTATTGCATAAAACCATTAATAATAATAATAATAATAATAATAATAATAATAATAATAATAATAATAATAATAATAATAATAATAATAATAATAATCTAACACTAGAATATCTACAGAGAGCCAAGTTAATTCGAACTGATAAATTATTTTGATACGATGCCCAGGCCTAACAGTGATGTCCTATTTGATTGCAGAATGAGACCTATGAGCTAATTCCTTTTCATCACCTTTGATATTTTATGTTTTTTTCTGTTTTTATAATCTGTAAATAAGCATTTTATTTTATTACATAAAAATCTCATCTGGCCAGTGGTGTTGCCTACATCAATAATCAGTTATTGTAAGCAGCCATAACGCTGCACACTTAGTGTCACTCTTTACCATCTATCGATTAGCATTTTATCTAAAAGCCGATAATTCCGTATCACTGATCATTGAAAACCTCTCCCATGCAAGTGCAGACTGATAACCAATGGCTTTACAGATTTTTATTCATGTTTCCGTTTGTAGATAGGTTTATTTTTGCTTTAACTAAAAATAAATGTTGTACACGTATCATAGGAAATACACTGAGTATAGCCCCCAAATGCCATGGGTATGGCCGAGAGTGGGGAGTCAGCTCTCCCTCTCGACATCCTCTCACATATCAACGCGTTTACAGCCACTACCAGAGAATTCCTAGTGACTGACTTCTCGCGGCAAATGTCTTGTTTACGAAGTTGAGAGGACGAAAAGCGAATGTTTGGCGCCTTAACCGGGTTGGTGGAAACAGAGGGTCCACCTAAGGGGGTTGGAAAACCCTGATTTCATACCAATGGTGCACATATGCTCCAGGATCTTAAAGGAACAAATGGCGTATGAACCAACTGTTGGTCACTGACTACCATGGGACTGCATCTATTTACGTTGCTCCACTGCCTTATGGATCAGACCTGTAAGTCGAAGGCTCTGGATATGACCCCCTAAGAAAACAACCTGCTTCGGTCTGGGCACCCGAACAGTATTACAACCCACACACAAATCAACTGACTTGTGTGGCGCATACGTGTTCGGTGTGCCTTTGTACTAATATTTATATATTCAAATAAATAGATAAAATAAACACTAAATATGCAATCTCAGTAACTGATCGGCACAGCTTAACAACAAAATCTACGAACAAACGAAAGAGACACCAATGGGATCACCAATATCAGAACTGATCGCAGAGGCAGAGACGCAAAGACTAGAAGCCGCTGTATCACCAGTGATCAAACCAAAAGTTTGGATTCGCTACGTAGACGACACCTTCTTCATCGTCAAAAAGAATGAACTAGAAACCACTTACAAACTGATCAACAACGTCTTCGATGACATTAAGTTCACCATGGAACAGGAGTCAAACAACAAACTAGCATTCTTGGATATATTGATCACTCGAACCGACACAGGAAAACTGGAAACTCAAGCATATAGGAAACCGACCCATACAGATCAAATTCTCAACTACAACAGCAACAACCCAAGAGCTCACAAAATCAACTGCGCACACAATTTGTTCAAGAGGGCGAGGACACACTGCAGCACACTGGCAGCACGAAGAAATGAAGAGAAATACCTGAAGGATGTATTTCAGAAGAACGGCTACCCAATAAACTTCAAAAAATACCAACCGCACGCAGCATTAGAACTCAAGTCAAGCACAAAAATCAACAGAAGGATCACCCTACCATATATACAAGGAATATCAGAAACCGCAACGAGACTGCTGAAAACCTTCGGAACAGGTGTGGCACACAAACCGACAAAATCACTACAATCAATCCTATGCAAACCAAAAGATGAAATAACAAAGGAAAACAAATCAAACATCATCTACAAAATAAATCGTGCCAACTGCGAAAACCACTACATTGGACAAACCGGACGCCCCCTTCACCTTCGCCTACATGAACATCAATTAGCAGTCAAACGCCGTGATACTTCCTCACTTATATCAATACACGTGGACAACTGCGGACACTCATTCGATTGGAAAAATGTGGAAATCTTAGACAGAGGAAACTCCAAAAACACCAGAGAATTTCTAGAAACCTGGCACTTAGGTCAATCAGCAATCAACAAGCATATTGAAATCAATCAAATTTATCAACCAATCAGAAAAATCATGCACAAACATAAGAACAAAAATCAAAACAATGGGAGACACAACCAAAACAAAGAAGTAAACAATGACAAATTTAAAGTCAATAAGGACCAATCAACATCGAGGTGCGCAGAACAAGCTTTGAAACACATATGGAGAGATTCAAACACTTCACTTCTATCTGAAGTTTGTGCTGATTATGTCGTTCAGAAGAACGATGAAAGCTCCACGACCAAACCATCCAGCTCAGGGAACAAAACTCCACCAAAAACAACTTAATCACAAACATCCTACTTTAGAAGTCTAATTGCAGACTAGCGGTTCCTCTAAGCGATTGGGATTCAAACGACCGCCATTGTCCCCAACTTTCAAATCTAAAAGATTATTTTATAGACTAGTGGTCAAAATAAAGAGCAGTACATAGTTCCACGAATTATTTTGTGAATAAGGAGATAAATAGTCACATATCCACTCTGGTACTTTACGATGGTTAGTTTATGGTTTGTCGAGAAGTAACTGATAGTCCTAACCCCGTTTATTCTTCAAATTTTAATTAAAAATACGGAAAAATCGATTTCTCAGTATTAGATATACTGTGTCAAATGTGAACTAAATTTCCTTCGATCATCCTAATCCCACCACGATATAGGCTCAAGGAAACAGTTCTCGTTGACAGGTTAAAAGTAAGAGTTGATGAGCCCAAACACTGTGTTTGACATAAACACTATTAGCAACGGTTTGAAAAAAAATAAACTAATGTGAATGAGATTACATTGTACAAAAACTTACAATATAATGGCCGGTCAGCTAAACAACCCATATATCAAATAAACTAATCACTCAATTTCAATCAAATTTTGAAATCGTCACTAGAACGTTTTTCTATCAGTCACAAACATAAAAACGACGAATTTTTTTAGTTTAAGCAGTTTGACGTCATCACTATTAACATGACAGAGTCCTGACTATTACAGGTACTGATCATACTTAAATTGAAATACACTGACTGATCCATTCCCAACAAATTAGTACTAGTGGTTGAATCGCGATGGTATATTCTTATGTAAATTATATATATAGTCTACAGTTTCTAATTCTGTATGTCTGCTGTTCAGGTTTGTTGGAATATGCATCGTCTCTACTTACATGGTGTTGATTTGGGGGGAGTTAACTGGAACCATCGTGGTCAGGGAACACTAGACAGCAAAATAACACAACAGCTATATAAGACAATAGTCTGGGTAATATGTAGAAATGTAAACTGCATTCACTGTACTATATTACGGACGGAATTATTAAAGCGAAGTTTCAAAGTACTACAAGACCAGTTTGCCTTATGCTAGTAAAAGCAGAGAAATTTAAGTGACTAAAATCAAAAAAGGATCAATTAATATTTATGATAAGTGAAATCATTAAGCTGGATCAATAATGAAGATTGAAATATTTTATTACTCACGGATACAAGCGCTGATAAATATCCAGTACTCTGTTTTGGATTTAATTCTGATGTAGACTGCACAGGGACTAGTGCCAAATTAAAATCAGCATCACTAGTAATAGGCGGTAAACACAACATGGAATTATTAATAGACGTAGAGTTTGAAAAATAATGTTCTTTGTCAGGAGGAACTAAATTCTTTGGTAGTTTGTCCGGTAATATTTTACCCTCCAGTGATTGATGGACCAAATGCATAGCCTACAATCAAAATCGTAATAAATATTTATCGAATTAAAAAAAGCTGTATTATCCTAAACACAACTGTACAGATTTAAAGGTGTATAGAAACTTAGGATGTATGGAGTAAGGTTTCCGTGTCCTGACAACCTGACAAAAATTCGAACTCGTTTCAATACTCAGTGTGTAATGAATAAGAACACGAGTGAGGACAATGGAATGTATTTGAGCACAAAACTACAGAGCATCTCAACAAAATCTGAGAACCGTATAGTAAATCGTTAATTTACAAAATATCAATCCATCATCTCAAACTTGACCGTTCTTGTCGCAAACATCAATCCATTGTTTCAGATTTCATTGTTCATGCGTTTTCATACCAATTGCATTCCGTTACTGTTCTTTCCTCATCGATCTCCTGCTGAATTACATTCTATGCCTGACCACCCTTATATACTACTTATATAAATAAAAGTAACCCGCACCACAAGTGTAGTTTGACATGAATATTTCAAGCTTATGGAGAACTGTTACCCAAATTGATTATTTCAAGCGGTGTTCCCCATAGTTTTCCGCTCTCCTCATCTTTATTTAACTCTGTCAAACAAATAATTTCAGAAATAACACTTTTATCTTCTACCAGGAGATTCACTTGTTGACTTAGAATACGCAGATGATATACTGCTATTCAGTGAAGAGAATGGCAAATTCCGGAATCCTATGACCCCGTTAAGCTACAAGGCAAGTATGTTTGGAATTCGATTCTTTCCCTCCAAATGAAAAATGTTGCTTTGGAATTGGCATGTGTCGGCGCCTGAATTAATGTTAGGGAGTGAAGTAGTTGGACGTACCGACCGCTTTACTTATCTTGGGAGCCTCATCAGTCCTGGTGCTCTGGTATCTGAAGAAATTTCAGCACAAACTCAGAAATCTCGATCGGCATTTGTCAACTTGCATCACTTGTGGCGTACGAGAGATATTCATCTACCAAAAAAGGACGAGTTTACTGTGCACCAGTTTGCTCCGTTTCACTTTATGGATGTGAAGTACACTCATTAAGGATAGCACTAGTATTCAATCACGCTTGTCTTCGAAGCACTGTTCGTGTTTTGGAACCACAAAGTAAGCAATGCCTAGGTTAGGCATAGAGCACAAGTTAAAGATGTCGATTCGGTTGGTGGGGTAACGAATTCTCATCAACTGAGGTGGTTGGGACATGTGGTACATATACCTAGCTACTGCCTACCTCGACGGGTGATGTTGTTTGGTGTAAGAGTGAGCTGGAAGAATCCGAGGGGCGGTCAAACCAAAACACCGCATCACTCCATGAAGTCACTGACAATTGGACTGACTCGTGTGTTAACAGGTGTAAAATACCTGGTTGAAGCCCACGTGATTTTCGTAACCAGTGGTTAGAGACTTAGAATGATATGGCTCAAAATTGTTTGTAATGACACAGGTGCATCAATTCTTTGTCTTCTCCCAGATTCTAAGCTTCGGAATGCCTCATAATCTTTTTCAATTCACCAACTTAGATTTTCTTCTCGAACCGTATCTTCGATGAGTAATTTTTCTATTATCACTGATACTGTTACTAGCTACGTTATTCCGGGATTTGGCCTGATAATTTTATCGCGCTGTGCTGATAGGATATATGAACTTGAACCAATGTACACACTTACAAGGTTCTACGTTGCAAACGATTGACTTATGTGACTAAAACTAAGTAATTGGAATTGAGGTATGAATAACGCAGACTGTATTGATAAAAATTGCAGACTGGAAGTGAAGGTTAGAACACAATATAGTAGAATATCAGACATACAACTGAATCACTAAAGATTCAAACTGACAAATAATAAATGATGAAGGTAAGAGAATGAGATACAGTTAATTACCGTCCACATTCAATAAGATTGGTCACTCATGCGTCAACTTGAGCCGATATTCATTTGCATCAGGTTCTTACATTGTTTATGACTGGATGGTTGATGATTTATTTCACATACTTTTATCTAGATGTTATTTCAACAACCTAAGAAGTATTTAATACACAATTGTCTGACTAGAAAAAAATTAATTCAGCTGATGCGAATCAAATTGGTCAACTTTGCAGCAAATGCTAGTTAAATGATTGGAGGACAATTCAGAGTATATAATTATGTAACACATAAGGAAGTCTGAGCTTTCTGAGAAGGCTTGCACCAAAGAACAATGACTTCATAAGCGGAAACCATTTGTTTTAAGGGTTCCCGGGACCCTTTCAAACAATCTTATACTGGGGAAGACGAACCCACTGAAATAAGTAATGGCACGAGTAAAACACACCGGGGCGATAAAAATGATGACAATAAGTAACCAACCAGTAGGGTTATTTAATGAGAACTAAGACCTATAAGTGTTATTACACACTTCTCTACCGTAAAAAAATATCAGACGTAGTAGCACTAATTAATAATAATCAGTGAAATTTTGACGAGAATCCTAAGATAACCACTCAGCATTAAAATTATACTGAAATTTAGTATAACGATTATAGGCATGAAAAACTAAGTTACGAATATCGCTTTAAACTTACAACAATGAACTCGCTCTGATCTAGACTACCATCATTATCAATATCTGAAAGGTCCCATATTTTTCCAAGAGTTTCAACTGGTAACTGAAACTTTAAAAATACCTGGGAAAAAACGAATGGTCAAATCAGGAACTATATATAGCATATTGATGACAAAAAGTTTAGTCACGGGTCTCAATAAGTTTATTCTTTTGTATATTTGACGGTGTATAAATGAAACAGCGTAAAAACATATCAATTGTTCTCAATTAATCACTATCGTTATTTCATTGATTGTAGCCAGTTGTAGTTCGGAAACATCTGTTTAGAATAGCCAAATAATTAAGTAATTTTAGTTTAGAATAGATTTTTAATATCATAAAACTGTTTAAAAGTTAAAAGGTTATAGCACTAGGATAAGAAATATGCACGCTATCCACACACACATTCTACTTTTACGGAACTTCAGTATTCCTTTTTTAGGTGATGTACCTATGGAGACTGAATTAACTAGTTGAACTAAACTACCTAATCGTTGATGGACTAACGCCCATTTGAAAGGAAATTACTAAAAATAGAGAAATTCGATGTCTTGTGGAAGTATTACATATAACAACAGCTATTCTTGCAACTGCGAAGGAAATTTTAAATCTTTGAGTCAGTCAGTCAGTCAGTAACAACGTAGAACTTCGTACGTACGTACATCAGTTCGAGTTGCCACACCACATTAGCACAGAGATGTAGTTGTCGATTCAAATCCCGTAGTGGTAGAGGTAATAAGAGTATAAGCAGTAATCGGGAAGATTAGGGTTTGGAGATGTTATTTAAAGAGTATAATCCAGTGAAATAAATTTGGAAAGAGGAAAAAAGGGACATGAAGAATTCAGAAGATTAGAATTTGGGAGAACACAGAGAGTGGATGCACCTGCGCCATTGCAAACGATTTTGAGCCATGTCATTCAGGGTCTCTAACCATCGGTTGCTATCATCTCGCGGTCCCCAACCAGGTAGTCTGCACCTACCAACATGACTCAGTCCACTTGTCAGTGACTTCATGGATTTGTGCCATGTTTTGGTCTGGCCGCCCCTAGCTTTCTTCCAACCTACTCCTATACCACTGAACATAGCACGTCGAGGCAGTCGGTGGTTGGACATACGTAAAACGTGTCCCAGCCATTTCAACTGATGAAGTTTCACTACGTCATAAATTGATTTGCCATCCTTACCTAGTACCCGTTTCCTAACAACTGTGTTACTTAGTCTATGGTCCCAGGATATACGAGCAATGTTTCGAAGACACCTATGATCAAATACTAGTAACCTACGGATGTCCTCTACTCTTACCGATCATGTTTCGCTGCCATAAAGAAGGACGGAACGAACTGTTGCGCAGTAAACCCGTCCTTTGGTTGATAGACGGATATCTCGCCTACTCCATAAATGACTCAAGTTGGCAAAAGCTAGTCGAGCCTTCTGTATCCGTGCTGAGATTTCGTCACACACTAAACCACAATGGCTGATGAGACTTCCAAGATAAGTTAAGCGGTCGACACACTCAACTACTTCACTCCCTATCACTAGTTCGGGTGTCGATGTAACCCAATCCTGAAGCAACATTTTGCATTTCGAGGGAGAGAATCGCATCCCGAACATGCTTGTATTGTTGCTTAGAGTGGTCAGAAGACTCTGCATTTTGTCAGCGTCTTCACCAAATAAAACTATGTCATCTGCATATTCTAAGTCAATAAGTGAACCTCCCGGTAGAAGTTCAACCCCTGTAAATTTAGATGAGGAGAGTGTTATCTCTAAAAGTACGTCAATGACAAAGTTGAACAAGAATGGGGAGAGTGGACAACCCTGACGAACACCACTTGAGGTGATCAATTCTGATGACAGTTCGCCATAAGCTCTCACTCTACCAGTTGTGTTCGAGTAGAGAGCCTTTATAAGGTTAATGTATTTCTTTGGTACTCCTTTCAGTGACAAACACTGCCATAGAACCTCACGATCAGCAGAGTCGAATGCCGCCTTAAGGTCGAGAAATACTACCATTGTGGGGCGTCTGAATGTGTGTCTGTGTTCTAGAACCTGACGTAGTGTGAATATCTGATCTATACAACCACGTCCAGGTCGAAAACCGGCCTAGTTTTCTCTAATCTGCTCTTCACGAGCTTTGATTAGGCGTCGAAGTATTATTGAAGCTAATATTTTAGACACTATATTAGTCAAACTGATTCCTCTGTGATTGTCACAAGAGGACTTTTGTCCTTTCTTATAGACTGGCACAATCAGTGATTGAGACCAGTCAGATGGGATTACGTCCAGTTCCCAAATTCTACCTAAAACCTCGGTTAATCTCATTGCTAATACTGGACCACCATCCTTAAAAATCTCAGGAGTAAACCTGTCAGGGCCTGCTGCTCTCCCTCGTTTCAGATTTCCTATGGCTTTTTCAACTTCGTAAAGGGACGGAGGACCTACATTAACTTGCCATTCAGGTTGACTAGAGATCGTGAGAAACCGAAGTGTGGCTGAAGGCCAGTTGAACTGATCCCTAAAGTGTTCTGCCCATCGATCCAATCTCCTGGATTGAGAATGAATAATATGTCCATCTTTCTCTGAGATTGTTTCGCTAACGGTCGGGTTCCTAATTCCGGTTTCCTTAACGAGTCTGAACAATTGTCTATTATTACCTATTGCCGCTGCCTTTTCCATCTCTCTTGCTTTCGCTACCCACCACTGTTCACGATCATTGCGTAGACTTCTTGTCAGCTTGCGCTTAAGCTGACTCCCCTCCTCATTATGTTCAGAGCCAGGTGGAATGAGTTTCCGAGCATCTATCAGTGAGATAGATGCTGCTGAGATCCAATGTTGCTCCCTAACCTTCTGGTTTACCTTACTAGCAGATATCACTGCTGTTTCCACAGCTTTTCGGATATCAGTCCATGCTGCATCGGGGTGGGCATCACATACATGACTGCCTAACTGTTTTCCTAGTTGTTCCTGAAATATACTCTTAGCTTGACTATTATTAAGTAGACCCCTAAGAGGTTTCCTTGCAGCGTCTTTCCTACGTCCAGTAAGACGCAAGCAAATACGCGCTCGCACTAGAGCATGATCTGAATCTAAGCATGTGCTCCAGAATGAGCGACAGTCTTCTATCGAGCCCCTCCATCGGTGGCTGATAGCGATGTGATCTATTTGGGTCCAACGTTGGGACGAATTAGGGGATCGCCATGTTAAAAGATGTTTTTCCTTATGCTTAAAGTTAGTATTTGCAAGGAACAGGCGGTTATCTGAGCATAGCTGCAACAGACGGTCGCCATTATCTGTTCTTTGAGCCACGACACCATAAGATCCACCTAGGTGTCTTTCCCTATCGCTTAGTTTACCTACTTGAGCATTAAAGTCACCGGCCACTATTACTATATCCGAGCGCTTAGCTTTTCGTAGAAGGTCCGAAAGCTTTCTGTAAAACTCATCTTTTACATCATCTGAGCTGCAGTCAGTGGGAGAATAGGCAGAGACGACGAAGAGGCAACGAGTGTCCCTATCTTTCCGGATTCTTACTGTTTCGTTCAGTTGGACAGCGCACAAACGACTGTCTACTGGGATCCACTCTAAGAGAGCTAGTTCTGCCCTAGGACTCAATGCTATACCTACGCCGGCGAGGCCACGGGAAGCAGAATCGGAGCTTCCAGATACACGAAGCGTACATCGAGTCGGTTCTTTATTTTGGCATGGTGAGGTCAAATAGATGACGCTACTCGGATCCTGTATGCGCGTTTCGGAGACGCTGCACACATCGATGGCGCGAGATTCTAAAGTTTTAGCTAAGGAAGCCTGCTGTCCTATTTGGCAAAGTGTTCGTACGTTAAAAGCTCCTACGTGTAGTTTAGAGCGTGGTTTCAGGAGACCAGGAATGGCGTTCCACGTACTCGAATCGTTTGCCCTAGCGGTGCGAGGTGATAAAGAGACGTGAGGAGGGTTAGTCGGGGAGGTAAGAGAGGTATTAGGAGGTCTAGGAAGGATTTGAATGTGACCACCTTGGTCTCTTGTGCTGTTACGGGTATGAGGGCTGATGTCACTTCCCGGTTGCCCATACCGTGGAAGAATATTTCTTGAGGAACCTGAAAAGGAAATTGGATTAGTGTTGGTCTTGACGACCTGGGAGTGTGACCGAAGAGCCCAAGGGACAACTGCCTGAGGCCGGTCGCGCACGGCCTTCTTGTGGAAGGTTTTTGACGTGTTAGCTCCGTTCTTCAAAGGGCCTTACCGCCGGAGACGGAAATCCGTGAGGTAAGGTGAGGTGTGCATTTTTAGGGTTGACCTTTTCTAACCCCACCCCTCCTTGTGGAAAGGCAGCATCGCTGTCATGCTGGTTGTCCGAGGGAAACACCTTACTGCTGTCACACCTCTCTACAGTCAGCAGTACGACTTCGCCCTCAGACCTTGAGTTGCTGCTTTTAGTCTTACCGTTCACCAATCGACCTGCCTGGCATGGTAGAACCTGCAGGAACATATGTTCCAGCCAATATAGCTCGGTTGGGTCATCACGATAGGCAAGCCCGACCACCGCGTCAAGGTAGCAGCTTCGATCGGGTAAATCTTTGAGTACAGACCGACGTGAGCAAACCATTGAATTTTCAAGATGTTTTAAGAGGATATCAGTGATAATTGATACTTGATTATAAATGAAATGTGGAATAAATTAGTGGTTCCACAAGAAGCGCTAATTCATGTACCAGACTATGATTTAAATCCGTTACGCAACAGCTGGGTATGATAGCTAGGGAATGAGACTTAAGTATATGAATGGTGTTCGAACTCCTGTCTTCGACATTGTAAGTGATTAAAGATATGCCAGAGTATTTGCCACTTTAATTTAAAAATTAATTCACGCAGATAAATGAAGACAAATGTAGTCAATAGCGTTCGGAGAAAAAAAGGGTTTACGTCCAAAAATAACAGAATAGCTATTCTGAAAGCACTGCAGACGTTCCAACCAATTCAATAGATAGTTTCCCAGCTTTCTTAGGACTGTAATCAATATAATAAACAATAACTTCACTAGGTTAAAAAATGTTGCTCAACAGAATCACATTAATCTAAACTAATGGCAGTCGGCAAACAAAATTCCACAAACCTCTCTAATTTTTTCCCCAGATAATTTCCCATAGGTTGGCTGAAGTTGATCGAAAATCGTTCTATACCTATACGCATCAGGAACAGAGATCTCATAAGCCATGTTTGAAGTCTAAGAATATCACCTGAATTAAATAAAAAACGTTTAGCATTCAATTAAATAATATAAAAACAATATAAGAGACTTATTTTTCCGTCGAAGCACAGCACATATACGAGGTATAACATAACAGGGCTCGGACTTTTGGTAAAATAGTTTTGGCATTATAGTTGATGTCAGTTCGTGATGAAAAACCTAGATATTATTCCAACCAAAACAGTAATATTCTGTGGCTCCGAGGTAACAAAATACACTGACAATTTCGTACAAAGTTTTAATGAAAACGTAAAGCAATTGGAGTCACACACAGTTGAAAGAACTTGTCACACAGGAGAAAATATATATAACTGGTAGTTAAATTCCTACATTGCGGTTAATGCACCAAATAACAATAAATCATGTCAGCCAACAATGTACAATGCACTTCCAACCAACTTCATTTCGTCTTAAACGTTTGTGTTATTCGAAAGAATTGAAGAATACAATTCCAACTACTTGAATTGCTGTACGAAATGTCTCAGATTGTTCAGTTTAAGATTAAAAGAGGATTCGGTAACTTATATCAATAACAGCCTAAAAACAGTCATTTGAAAGCCGGATATCGATTAAAAATCACTCATTAACAACATGAAAAATTCTACACCTTCTGTAGTCGATATTTTCAGCCACATTTCCGATGAGTGTCTAAAGCCTATATAAAATGTAATTGATTTCGGCTTCAAAAAGATGAAAAATGAGTTATATAAGAAATTCTTGGAAGCTTATCAATAAGTTGTGGAACCGACACTTAGAGGTGACTGTTACCTTGGAATAATGGAAAAATAACGGGAAGTAGGCCTAAAGAGCGTGAGTAAAGGTACTTATACCTCGCTAATCACTACCAAGAATTTTAATATGGCAAACTAGACAGCACGCAAAACCCTGGACAGTTTGCATGGCCATGCCTACACTCATACGGAAATTATGTATTTTAAGTTTGAGATTTCCTACAGAAGCAGGATACAAGCTAGACAAGTTATATCCAGCAACTAGTCACAGAATCTCGTCAGGACTACCATCTAGAGAAAGGTCACAACCACACCGTATAAAACCACAAATACCGCCAGTACTTATCAATATTCAACAGCCATAAAACAATACAGGACAAGCAAGAAGGACTAAATATCAGCTTTCCGAACTTAATTTCCATTTTTAGGTACTGCCCTGTGACACAAAGGCATGGCACTACCATTAACATTTGGATGACCTAGTCAATCAAATATGTTGTAGTGGTAAATAAATCCCCAAAATAAATAGCATTGCAAATCTTCGACATTGGATCCCGACCACATTAGTTTTAACGGACTCGCCTAGCTGAAGGCGCTCGGTAATCCATCCGCACCAGATCACGAGTGGTAATGCTGTGCTCAATATCCCCTGCAATCGCAAGCCAGACTAAAGCAGTCGATCCACGATATATTGATAGCCTATCAAATATATCTTCGAACATCCTCTATCTGTCTTTTTATTTCACTTGGTGAGTACGATTTATATTAGGTGTTACTGGTTAAAGCACTGTCAAACCCCAGATACCTGTGCCATCTTCAATGTAGCTAGTAATATGAATCACCAAATGGTGGTTCTTCACAAGGGTGCTGCGAACGGACTGATGTAACTTTATTTGCTAAATTGACTCAAGGGATATTCTCACGGAAGATGAGTCTGATGTATTAGCATAAGTCAAGTAGTTGAGACTTAGTTGAAGACCTTTTGGTGGTATCGAAATATTTGGTTACTTCCTTATTTTGCGCAAACATTAAATTTCCTGTTATCTCGTATTGAATATTGAAAGGTGTGTTTGTTTAAGTTCCACGATGTGAGTGAACATCTACTACAGCCATTAGTCAGGTCTTTCCGACATGAAAAACAAGGGTAACTGCCAGCATGAAAGTTCTACACCTCAAATTTTATCAAGATGGAGGATAGATCTCCGGCCTAACTTCCCTTTTAGCGTGCCATAGTTCGTTGTGTGTTCAAAGTATTACAGAACCTCCTGTTAGTTATGTCTATAACTAACAAATCAAATCGTTGTTCAAGCACCTACCACGTTGATCTAGTCTGGTGTGTCTGTAAAGTATTCCTGTTGCATGTGGCCTGCCAATTGAAAGACATCATTATCCTATTATATTAGTTTGACTAATAATTTTTATTCATTTCGTAAGACATGCAATGCTGGTCAGTATGCTCGTGTGTTTCAATTAGTGACTTTTATTCCTTTAATTAATGCAATAATTTACCTGTTTTTACATCTAGAAACAGACAGAGTTTAAAGCCAAGTTATCCTTGTCCTGATTATGGCTTTCACATAGACTCTGGGTTCGCGTTTACGGTCCTAGTATTATATCTACAGGACAAGTTGAATCCTACACTTTCTGCAAGCAATAAAAGGAAGGAACAATCGATTCGATCAATCTACAGGATACAACGTATTTTTACGTCAAGAAGCTTCCCTCCGTTAGACATCTATGCCATCAAACAAAGTAAATGACCTCAAGATCCAGATTTCTTACATCAACTGTGAAACGAATTACAGAATTTTGACTTCTGATTGAGATTTCGGTCAACTGTCTTAAGAATGCAGAGAAGTACGTCTTTATCAGTCGCCTAAATTTTCCGTACTTCAAATTAATATAATCAGAATGAGGTTTATATCTCAACATCAAATATATCACTTAACACCGAGGATTTGGATGGATAATCATTAGCATTTTCATTTTCTTCTTGTAGTGGTAAAGATATGATAGGTAAAATGGAATTAGACAATATCACTTTCAACTTAACTTACAACTGATAGCCCGAGGTAGAAACCCACCATTATTGAGAGATTTATATAATCGCTAGTGTGTAGAAGTGTGGAAAGGAAAACTTCCAGACTGAGAACTTAAAGAGATAATATTTTTTACGCCGTTCCGTGCTGTGACTACATGATAATGATTAACCAAGATTCTTCAATTACTATAATTCTTGAAATCAAGGGGAGAGAAATCAGTCTTGAGCGTCTGCAAAACAATTGATTTAAGGAACTTATTTGCTCCCGCCGCAGGATACTTAGTTTCCTATATGGCGTTTTACTCGTTCGAATTATTTCAGTTTCTCACATACCTACAGGTGATTTAAAATTTACTACGTCAATAGGTGTCAATACCAAGGTTTGATTTAATAATTTCGAATAAATTGAGCATTGGGTAGATTGTTATAAATAAATATATAAATAATATATTCGTAATATTCCAATGAGTATTTATTATTACTCATTCTTTTTGGCAAACGAAAAGAACGAAAGAATGCAATCAGTATCTTACAATCTAATAATTTTCCTCTGGAGATTATCAGAAGTATGTTAAAACAGGATGGTTCAATGAGTTATAATAATGATTCGAATAAAAAGTCATGGATTGGTACTGCAGTTTTACCATACCTTCATGATACAACAGAGAATCTTAAAACAACACAGAATTAACGTATATTACAAAACAACAAACACATTTCGAAATACTTTAGTTCGCTAAAAAGAAAAAAATCCCTTTCATATCTACACAGAACTGCGTCCACAAATTAAGTTGTATCGACCGTGGCGTCTTCTGTGTTGGAGAGTCATCTCGTTTCTACCAGAAAATGTAACCGTATGTGCAGTGACTTTTCATGTTGGCATAATCCCTGTTGACAGTTCGTTGTAAGCATGAATGTATGTATGCATGTATGTATGGATGCATACATTTATGTATACATACAGATATACGTAAAAACACTTATCACCATACCATTAAGTAAGAAAACATGATTCATTGTTAATTTGAAATTAAAACTTTCGAGCCTTCATGTTCTGCGTATAACATTTATTTTTCGTCAAGGATATATATATTCTTGACAAACAGTTCAGCAAAATTTAATATTTCATATTGCATTGGATATTCAAAAATGCCATACAAGAGCAGAATATTTCTTCAGATTATTGATTATAGCCTTTCACTGGCCGAATCTGTCATAATCCCAAAAAAGCTACGTCTAGTAGTGTTTCATTTATCCTATGCAGGACATCCTGGAATAAGTCGCATGAAAGTGACAGCATGAAGTGTGTATACTGGTCGTACGTAAACATACAACTGGAGCAGCTATCCCGTTCATATAACAAATGGGGGCTACCAATGAAAGTACAACGGGAAACAGCTGCAATCATGTTCATTATCAGTAACCGTGGCAGTGTATGCATATGGACTTTGCTGATCCACGTCATGGACAAATTTACCTTCTGGTTGTCGACACATATAGCAAGTGGACAGAAATTTTTCTCATGGAACATCGAACTGCAGGCTGAACAGTTAGAAAACTACATCGACTATTCAGTCGTTTCGGGGTTCCACCAGCATTATCCATCCAACTGTCCTAGAACATTCTTCCCAGTTGCTATCCATCCTTTTCATGTCTGCTTTCAATTTTCAACGTAGTGTGTTCTCCCGTCTTCCTCACTTCCGTATCCCTTTATGATACTAGGTAAGCGCTTGAATCGTGATGCAGTTTGGTAGTTTCTGCAATATATGTCCCATCCACTTCCAAAGTGTTTTCTTAATTTCCTCATCAGCGGGAAGTTAGTTTGTTCTCTCCTACAGCAGACTGTTGCTGATGGTTTCTGGCCAACGGACATCGAGTATCTTGCGTAGACAACTATTGATAAATACTTTCACCTTGATGGTTGTGGTAGTTCTCCAAGTTTCAGATCCGTACAGTAGAATTATCTTGATGTTCGTATTGAAGATCCTCATTTTGACATTTACTTAGTTGTTTTGCGTCCAATATGTTCTTCAATTGTAGAAATGTTGTCCTTCTTTTGCCAATCCTCGCCTTTACGTCTGCATCCGATCCTTCGTGTGCAACGATTACGCTTCCGTAGCATCTTACCAGATACCTCTGAAGGTTTTCAGATCAAAAATTGATAAAAAAAGGTAAGAGGACCAAAGGCAGTTTTA